TATCAATTGTTCACCTTTAATTCTTCTTTTATTTGCTCAACTGTTGACCTTGTTTCTAATCTATAATAAACTTACAATTTATTCGTTGAATAGTTTTTTTCCAAAAATAAATATAAAAGATATATTTCTTTATTTAGAAGGAAATATTTTAAATGAAATACCTATAATTTTAGTTCAAATTCCAATACAGTAATACTTAAAATATTTCGATATATTTTGATTAAATAATAATAATTATTATTATTCCATAATTCATAGATCAAATATCTTTGAATAGAATTGTCGAAAATTTTGCGTTTCACCGATGTAAAAACGAGAATTCAATGTGGCAAAAAAAAAAACCAAAATCGGGACTGAAATGCGTCTCTTTTGTTTTCCAGTGTGTAAATGAGTTAATCTTTGCTAAATAATTTTAAAATAATTTTGATAATTTTAATTTTACCGCATTATATTTTGGAGATAATCGAGATTTGTGGAAAATTTGTGCATTAATTGACAAGAAAATAAAAAAAAACTGAAAAACGATCTAATTTTGTGATTATATTCAGTTTTCCATAATGAATGAACTGGTATAAATATTTTTAGGTTTTTTAAAATAAAATCTTTTAGACAAATTTTTTTTATTTAAAAAAATGGTTTTTAAAATATTGGAAATAATAAATAAATTCGCGAATATTTTAACCATTAAAAGAAAGAAAGTTGAAAATATAAAGTACTAGGAGTCATCAATTTAATGAGCATAAATATATTTTCAACATTCTACTTGAATTATTTTAAATAATTCTATTTTAATTGATTCAAATTTTGTTCCCTTTTTTTATAATCAATTAATCAATTAATAATTTAATCAATTAATAATGGAATAATTTTAAAATTTAATAATAATTAATAATTTTAATAATTAACTGCCAAATTTAATTCTAAAATTTTCTTTTTCGTCAAAAAATTCACTTTTTCCATTCATATATTTTCGCTTTTAGCTAAGTACCACCTGCATTAATAATGCTATCATAGAGGGTCGCCTTCGCTGGTTAGGGTAGGTTCTTCATTGCCCACCACAGGAATTGACATATATTTCGTTATTTGCTAAATTCTATGATGGTTGGCGTCAAAAGCGAGGAGGACCAGTCAAGACCTGGAATGATACAGCTAGGATAGATTTCGAACACATAGGGGAACCAGCAATATATGGACTTAGACGATGGAAAAAGGAATGACTTCTATTACTACTAGCGATGGCGTCGGACCGGGCAGCTTGGAATCGTCTTGTAGCCAGCTGAGCCAACCTAACCAGTAGTGGTGAGAGCTGTTAGAAGAGCCAAGTAATTCTACAGCAAGAATTTCGTAGATTCTTCTTTCATATGGCTTACAGCATTACTGGCATCGGTGTTTATTATAAGAGTGAGGTGTATTCATGTTTCTCAATCCGATGCCATTTTTCAAAATAACTGAAATTCGCTCCTTAATTAATCCACAGGATAGTGCTTAATAACGAGATGGCTGCTCACTGTGAAGATGCTTTTTGCAAGAATGATAAATTAATGATGATAAATTATACTATTATTAACTATTATACTATTATATACTATTATTAAAAAATATTTTAAAACTTATTTACTAATTTAATTATTCATTGATATCGTTCAAGTATTTTAATGTGAAATTTGTAGCAAAACGTGCTGCAAAACTAGCTAATTATCAGATTGAATTCTTCCTTTTCGTTAGCTGAGTCAATGAAAAGCTGAAAGGCAAACAGAATAATTCGAAAGAAAATAAAAGTGATTTTCGATTAGTTCGATGTGATCGTCCATTTCCCATTTTATTATTATTATTTTAATTGTTTTTTTTTATTGTACAAATCATATTTTAAAAATTTTATTTTATTTTTATGATTAAACTTAATTTCTGACAATAATGCATGAAAATTATTTTCGAAAAAAGCCTCATTTTTTAAACTTTTTATTTAAATTTTTAAATGAAAAATTTTTTTTAATTTTAAATAAATTTTTTTTTTTTTAAATAAAAAATCTTCAAACAAAATTTTGCGTAAAACTATGGTTAATTATTGTAAAACTAGAAGTTTATTTTCGTTTTTATTTAAATTATATTGTTTTATCTAAGTAAATAAAATTATCTATTTTCTTTTATTTGCATTATTAATAAAATTTCCACAAATAAATTTCATATGATTTTAAACCATTCTCCTCGATTCTTCGCTCTTTGAAAAACCCTCACTTTTTCCGATTAGGCTCGCTTTGCTAATTTCTCGGACCAGGCAAATTTTCACTGAAAAATCATTTGGCGATGAGTCGCAGATTATTGAAAAGATTGCCACGAATAGAAGTTCAGCAACGAGGCTTTAAAGTGATCCATTGAAATGTATACATAACAAATAATAAAAAAAAATTTGGAAGTATTTTTTACACTAAAAAATTTAGTATAAATATACAAAGAACATTCAATTATTTAGACAGTGTAGCAGTGGATAGCCATTCAAATTATTGAAAGGCATGAGTCCGGTTCATGTGAGTCCCCAATAAGAGTGAATCTAGCATTAAAAAATTCGAGCAGCGTTGTGCCTATTCCTTCTTCCTCTTTTGACAAGTGATTCCACAGCAAAAATTTCGAATCGAATTAACAGCCCGGGGTTTAGCTTAGCCTAACTAGTGATTACTAACCAGTTAGCTTAGCCTAACTAGTGATTACTAACCAGTCACTTTATGTTTTGCATTATATCATATTTAGAAGTGATTTGATTATCGAACGATAAATAAATTTATTGATCCTAATGAGAATGATAAACTAGTTCTTCAATTAACTATTGATTCGCTGATTAATTTCAATCAGTTTTCGATCAAGATAAATCTCTTCGGTCGGTGAAATATTTGATATGTCGGACTCTTGACATCCATCGCCCCTTAAACGATTCATTTGCTACTTAGAATTTTATAATCATTGTAACCGATTTGATCATTTTGTGGTTTGATGAATTTTTTTTCCCTCGAATATGTATCATTCTTCTTCTTTCAGTGCATTATTTTTGGGTTGAGAGGCACTCCTCACTGTTAGAAATCATTTCGCCATAGAATTACTTAAGGATATATTGCTGGAAGATTAGGCGGTGAGGAGTTTATAGCGCCATCTGGATTTCGTTTCTAAAAGGGACAAGTAAATTGAACTCATGCTATTTCTTCTAGAAAAGTATTTCTTGCGAAGAGAAGAATTTGGCATTCGTTGCATTAAAAGGATTCGAGTGGTTCTAAGAGTTATTCAATGTTTTCTTTTCTCATATAGGCTTATTTATTTGTAATAGCAAATTTACTAAGATAAAGTTATTTGTTTAGTAAATTTCTAAAATTTTTTGTCACAAATGGATCATAGAGAATCGCGAAATTTTACCAAAAAATCGTATACAAATTTCGAAAATTTAAGAGATATTTACTCATCAATAGGGTTATTTATTCGATAGAATTTTAATGGACATTATCGTATGAAATCAATCGTTCGATAAAATTTTTATTAACATCTTATATTTGTATAATCTCATATTTGTAATTTTATTTTATTCCTCTTTAAAAGAATCTCCGAATTCAAATCCATTTTTATAATTAAATCGTATAAAAAAATACGAAGATAAATGATAAATGATTACTTAAAAATTCTCAAATTCTTACAACAAATCCATAATTTTTCTAAGCGAATAAATTTAGCAATTAATTTAGCTCTTTTTTCGGAGTCGAATTCAAATTGTTCGTTCTGTTTTCTTTATGAGAAAAAAAAAACCCATTAATAACGAGAAATCACCACGAGATTTTCAAAGAATTTGAAGTTAAAATCAAAAGATGATTAAAAGAAAAATAAAAGCTGAAAAATGCTGAAAATTTGACAATTTCAAAGACGAGAGGATCGGTCAGACATTTTTTAAGACAGTCATTTTTTGATAGTCCTCGAATCCATAATCAATTTCTTCTGCAACCCTTATCATCACTGCTTTGTTCATTCCGTTGATTTATCGGATTTATCAAACAAATTCTGCTAGGGAAGAATCACTTAGCGATATAAGCACAAGTGGCCCATCGCATGGAATATAATGATATGAATTTGAAAATTTTTTAGCTTTAATTTCTAATGTCCACATAAATAAAGGTTTTAATGAGTTTTAAGAATTTACAATAGCAATTAGAGTAAAAAATTTTTGAAAAATATACTTTCGATAATGAATTTTGTAAAAATTGTGCAATTTAATTGATAAATTTAGAAAAAAAAAGTTATTATTACTTTTAAATAATTACAAATGACATAAATAATAACCAACAATATTCAATGCTCAAATGGCAAAATACAATAAAAAATAAATTTTATACAATCGATGCACCATAAATGAAAAGAATAAATGATTAGTTTAGGTCAAAATGAAATGAAGCGAACCATTTGTGTTGATTTGATATTTAATGATTGCAAATAACTATGATATTTGTAATGAAATACATATTTATATTTGGGTCAATAACCACTTAGCTAAAATAATTTATTGTTCATTTCGCTTCGAATTCTTTTTTTTTTTTTCAAATAAACAAATTTCAAAAATTAAATTTGTTTATTTCTTATTTCTTATCAGTGAAGTATTTGGTATGATAGGCAGCGACGGATTTATTTCTCTGAACACGCACATCCATTTATGGAATTAATTTTTAATGTTTTTTTAATAATTTATTCTATTTTTAATAATAAATTTATTCCTAATCAGCGAATTGAATTGATTCTATTTGCTGAGAAATATTTAAATTATCTTTAAAAATTGAAATTATTCTAAAATTTTCGTGATTCAATGCAAAAATTTATTTGAAATTTTTTTCGCCATTTAATTATTTATTATTCAGAAAGCTTTTTTTTTTCAAATGCTATTATATTTAATTAATTTGCATCAAAATTGTTCATCTTTTTCATCAAACTACACAAAAAAAATTTTATATTTTTTTGAATTGTTTGGCAAAAAATTAATGAAAAAGTTTCGCATATTGCTGGAAAGAATTCCAGAAATTAATACATCGAAAAAGCCCGGAAACATTTTTGTCGCTTTCAACGGTGAATTGGAATTGGAACTTGCATTTTATGGCAGAAAAAATATATATATATATAGTATGTACGCGCTGTAGTGATTCCTCAGTTATTCGAAATTAATTCATAAAGTTTCACTGATTTTTGTTTCTTTTCTAAGAGAGTACTCACCATTTCTGGTTCTGTTCGCTTCCCCAGCTTATCATGGATAATTTGGCGAAAAGTATGGGAGAATCGTCAGTATTACCTGGATTTTTGAAAGACAAATTTGCTTCATCCGAGAGTAGGGTTCCAGCATCGACACTCTAAAATGAGAGCAACAGCCCATTGAACTACTCTACTTTCTTCTCTTTACAGTTCCGAGCAATATATTTTATTGCATTATATTAGATGCGTATTATGTTATAATTAACAAAAATATTATGTATATTATGTTATAATATTAATATAATATTAAAAATAATATATAAATAATAAATATATAAATATATAATAAAAAATATGTTCTATTAATAATAATATAATATTTTTATATTTTATTAATATATTTTAATATAATAATAATAAAATATATTTTATTAATATAATATAGTATACTAATACTAATATATTAATATAATAACATTTTATTAAAATAATAAATTTTTACTGAAAATTTGAATTGAAATATCGAAAAAACTACGCGCAATATTAGTCAGTTATGTATTCGCATATTTTTTTTCCATCTAAAAACCAATTCCTTTTTTATAGAATTCCTTATTTGGATTTAAAATATTCTTCCGACGCTATTTTCTTTTACCCTTTAAAGAGAAATTATTTATTTATAATTTATTTATAATATTATAAATAAAAATAAATGTAAGTCATTGTATTATATTGACTTAAATTGGTTCGTAATCCGCACGAACGATATTTGACAAATTTATTGAAAATTGCATTGATTCGTTGATTTCGAACATTTTATTAAAATTTATTTTCAAAAATAATAAATTTTTAAAAATAAAACTCAATGAAATGAGAACAGCGCGATTCTCGAAAAATAAAATTTTCATTAAAATAATTTTGTTATGGACAATTTATTTTAAATTTATTAAACAATTTATAAAGTTATCAAGTTAATCAATTATTTTTATAAAATTCTTTATATAAAATTTATAAAGAAATTTTTTTCTTTATGAAAATATATTTAAGTTTTTTTTTCACGAAAATTTTTTCGTGTAGTTTAATTCATTTCAAAAGGGAAATAATTTATGCATATCTTGTTTTTCTTCAGCTAATATAATCTTACTGGCTAGGTTAGCTGAAGTTCTTATAGCTCTCTGGCTCGTAGGCTAGGCTATAGGGCTATAAGGATGTTTTCAAGCCCCTTGGTTCAATCTCATATTATATCCAAGTTAAATAGCTTATCATTTGTTTATTCTCGCCAAAGCAAGGAAGTAAGAAAAGGAAATAAACTCCTTATTAAAAGTTCAATTCCAAATAATATTGGAAATTTAGTTCTGTTTCTATTTTCAAATAAGTAAGTTTCACCATGGAGAACTCGACCAAATAGGCAGTACCACTAGAAAAAGGCGCAGGACCATAGTCACCCAATGTCAGATCCTCTATAAGAGTTCCTCCACTGAGTTTTAAATCCTCTATAAAAGTTGATGTGCAAGCGAAAGTCAGAATATTACAATTAAATGAATTAAATATCATCATTACAACCAAATAAAATCTCGTAGATAAGATTCAAATTCTTGTTTAATTCTTCTGATTCTAAATGAATCGAGAAATTTAGCCTAAATAATATTTCTAATTAAATGGACCATGTTGTAATTAGCGTAAAACTGTGAATTTACTATATTTGAGTGAATATGGTACGTTATGTTCAAAGGGTTGCGAATGAAGAAATATTTCATTCTTCATTTCTTACTTAATATTTAATAATTAAATAGGATAATGAGGTAAATATAATAATAAATAATAATAAAAAAAAAATGAGTGTACAGATCAATTTCCATATTTTTCTTTGTATGGAAATTATATCAAAGTGATAAAAAAAACTTCAATTATCAGCGACTTGACTAGGAATTTTGCATATTTATAAAACGAAAAGGATATAAATAAAGTAAAACGACTGTAATAATGGTACCAAAAAAAAAAGTATTTTGATCTATGGCATTCATGTATAACGACCATTATATAATTTTCATTTATATGTAACGCATGCAAAATCATTGTGAATGATAAATTCTGTTTAGCTTTAATACTCTCTGATAAAATTGCTCCAATTTACAATCATTTTGAATATTATTAGATAGATAGATAGATAGGATGGATTTCAATAGCACAGTTGTCTGCATAAAATCGTCTTATCTTACACGCAATTTTTTATTCTCACAATTGTTTCGAAAGCAAAACCTCGTCGTAAACAATTGTTCCGTATATAAAAAGTTATCATAAATTGAATCGTCTATAATAATGAGAATTGAATGCATTTTAAAAAATCGAATAAAAATATAATTAAGTGAATTTATAGGCGAATGGATTGGATATGGTCTTGGAGTGATTTTGTCTTTTACGGTTTTTGTTCGTGTAGCGGTAATAATAAAACTACTGATAAAACTACCGATTTCACTAATAAACAAAGGTTTACTTCTGTTTTTGATCTAAAAAATATCTGCTAAAAGGTTTACTTCTGTTTTTGATCTAAAATAAATAAAATGTTTGAAATTTTTTAAAAAAAAAATTAAAGACTTTTTTAGATTTTTCGTTTTTTGAAAATTTTCTAGTTTTACTACGCTTACAATTACTTATTTCGAAATTTTTTATTAATTTTTTTAATTAATCCAAAATTTTTATAAAAATGAAATTTTTTTTTTTTATCGTCGTTTTTATATGCGTTCGGCAAGATTACTTATAATTTTTTCGAATCGCATTGGATGAAATGATTACTTAATTTGCCAAAACTCATGGGAATTCATTGAAAATGAAATTCATTCATCCACCTATTCACAGTCGATTTCATTCGCCGTTTTATATAATAATGAATTTTCTTTTCAAATTTTATTTCGTTATGCCAGCAAATTTATTTATTCAAATTTTATTGTCTAAAAAATTAAAATTAGAAAATCAAAATGAAATTTCCAACTAAAATAAAAGTTTACTGTTAAATTTAAATGGTGAAATCAATTGTTCTGAAGGAATATACATTTTTCAAATTTCGATTTCATCATTGCGAAAATAATTGTTTCTTCATAAATTCAGCTATTTCCTTTATTTATTCAATTTATCTTTAACATTTATCTTAAAATTTAGTCGTCATTTTTCCTTGGAATAATTATCTATTTATATAAAAATGCTTAAAATATTGATAATTCTATTGCTAATAAGCGAAATTTTATCAATAATGCACTTTGATAAAGGAAAGAACAAAAACTGTATATTCAAATTCTTCTCGTAAATTTTTAGTTAATTTATCTTCTTCCTCTAATTCGGGCTCTATTTTACTTGGCTATAATTTTGTCAAAAAATCATTTGGACCCCTATAAGCTATTCGAATTTCACTCTTTTAAGATTTCTGCCCGTTTAAAGAGATACGAATGGAACTTTCGATGCAATCAACCAAACTAATATAGCGCTCAAGTCTATATTATGAAAATAAATAAAATCTTGTTTAGTATCATAAAATCTTGGTAAAAGTTTTTATGTCGTATAAATAAATAATAAACCTAACGATTTTTATGCGAATGAGACTTTGTCGAGCATGATGCGTGTCCACCGATAGTTTTCAATCTCATTGGTCCGTTAATATTAAAATATTTCTTTAAAAAAAAATTCAACTTTACGGCGTATATTATATTTTAAGAGTTCATTTCATTTCATTTTTAGATTAAAGCAAATAAAATTCTTTAAAAAATATTTTTATTTCTTTTTATTTTTTAATTAATTTAATTCTCTGAAATTAAATTATTTTTTGTAAATATTAGCGAAAATTGTCGATATTTCATCGATTCTACAATATAATATATATATTTTTTTTCGACAAAAAAGCAATGGAATATTGACGAAAAATATTTCTTTCAAGGCTTATGCTTCTATTCTTTCAGCTTTCCATTTCAACTATTATTTTATTATATTCTTTTGATGTTACTATATTCTATTTTGAATGCAATTGTCCATCTTTCCCCACCTTTTAGTGATGGACAGAAGAGAAGCTGGAACTTCATCGATCCCATAGTTACAAAAGTTTATGACATAAAAACTTGTTCGCCTTTTTCTTCAGTAAACAACATGCATCGTTTGTCGTATGTTATTAATGGCGCTGAAGAAAAGACACTTTCTCCAAGTTACTGCAATATAGAAGTTGGTTCCGTATTTATCTCTGTTAGGAATCTCACCGGACAGGAATGATTGTTCTTGAATGAGACATTTTATGGTTCTTCTTCTTTTACTATTTGCTCTTCGTTATTGTTACCGTTATTGTTTTTAACTGGCTCACTCAAGTGGTAACTATGGTAAGATGGTTCGAAACCTTCTAATTGCTCATTTTTGCGCTATCCTATCTAAGCTCGTAAACACTCAAAATCTAATTGCATCAGTTCAAGCCTTGATTAACCTTTCTTATTTTTAATGTCAATCGGTTACAAGGCCATTAAGTATCACGACGTGTGACGACTTCTGTGATGAACGATGAAAAATACTGTTTAATCAAATAAGCATGACCGAGCGTAGAGGGTACAGTTTTTTTGATATCTCCCACTCTTACCGGACTTATCGGATTAATTCCTTTGTTTTACTTTATAAGCTTTTTTTGCCAACGTTGTGCAGCCGTATTTCTCATCATAGATCGTTGTTTTTCAGTCTCTTCAAATTTCATCGAATAATCAACAAGATAATTCGCACACATGTTAGGCAGATGTCTGATTAGATTCGCCAGTTCTCAATTCTTTTTTTCGTTGTTAGCAGAGATTTTAATTTTTATAGAAAACTTCTCGTTTAGATATTATTAATTCTGATCAAATCTTTTTTTTCTTCTATTCTTCCAGTTTTTTATTTTTAAATTTTTTTTAATTTAAAAAATTTTTTCAATTATAAAAAATATATAATAATTTAAAAATATAGTAATTTTAATAATTTTTCGATTAAAAAAATTTTGAATTTTCTTTTCGGATTTTATAGAATTTTTCAACGATATATTTATGAAAAAAAAAAAAAATCATTTATTATTCATGATTCTTTAAAGAATTTTTTATTGAATTTAGCTATTTCTCTTCGCTGATATCGTCGAATTTTTGATAATTTTATAAATTTTACGATGATTAATTAATAGATTAAATTAATAAATAGTGGTTACGATAAATGCCTATTTTCATTTTAACTTAGATAATTATTTTTAAAATTATATAATAAAATAAATTTTGTAATTTTAGCGAATCGAATTGCAAATTATACGTTGTGAATGAGAACTGTATTAATTTTGATAAAAATATAAATTGTTTATATAATTTCAATGATATGAATAAGGTTTGTTTCTCATTTTTCTAACAAATTTTTTATTACATTTTTTTTTTCCACTTTCTTTAAATCAAATTTATTCGCAAATTTAAAATATTTTTTATTGTTTTTTTTCTTTTAAGTTTTCTTCCTTAAATATTTTAAAAATTTCATTATTTTAATATTTTATAAATATTTAATATTTATTTATTTTATTTTTATTTATCTAAAATTGCTTATAGTCTCAAGATTTTTTGAGTTTATTGGAGAAATTACAAAGTGAACGTTTGGATGATCAACGATGCGAAATGTTTTCGCTTTCAAAAGTTCGTTGTAATTTTTATTTTACAATAATTCCAAAAAGGCTAATTACTCATCAAAATCGAATGAAGAAAAATAAAATAAACTTTTTTCTGACTAATTAATGAATCAGTAAGGTGTTTTTTATAAATAAATATTTATATTATATTGAGAATCCTTAAATAATAATTTAAATCCTTTTTCATATTATTTTCTTATAATAAATATTAGTTAAAATAATTTTTTTTTTTTTTAAATTTCTCACCATTACTGATTACTAATTAGTTGTGTTGGTTTGTCTCACAGGCAAAAATGCTAGAGAGTGCCTTAGTGATAGAATAGCAGGTGAACCGCCAGCATCACCTGGATTTTTGAATAGATTTCCTCTAACGCGGAGTTGAACCTCAGCATTGGTGCTCCCAACTGAACAACAACCCATTGAGCCACCTCCTTATAATATATGTTATGTACTGTTGTATAAATATTATTTAATATTATGCAAATAATTAATATTATATAAATATTATTTAATATTATTATTTAGGTCATTTTTTATTTTTTTAAATATGATTATTGGCATTATTGGCAGCTCTCACATTTGTAAATTTTTGCTAATTTTTAATTGATTTCAATTATAATTTTTTAATCATCCTTAATCAAGTGATTTTTAATCAAGTGATTTTTTATGATCACTTTTTGAATTGATTTTTCCATATTTTTAAAATAGATAAGATAATTGATAAGCAGTTATGAAAAAATTCATCTTCTTCCTTATTCATATACCTCATCATTTTTTCTTTCCTTTTTTATCCTTTTTTCAGATTAATTTTATAGAATATTAACGAAATATCAAAATCGCTTTTCTTATTTTTAAAATATCACTATTATAATGTTTAATCTTTTATCTTTTTAATCTTTAATTAATCTTTTAAAAATCTTTTATTTATTAAATAACAAAAATTTTTTGAAATTCACTGAATCTACAAAAACTATTTAGTATTTAAAGACATTTTTGTGTTTTTTTTTGCAGAAAAAATTTTTTGAATTCATTCAAAATTTCTTTATAAAAAGATTTTTGAATAATTAATAAATATTAATCACCAAATGCAAAGAATATGCAAAAAATTTTTAGATATTTTTTATTTTTTTCAATTGTCATTGGTACTTTTTTGATACCACGTGGACCTTTTTTTTTCCTTTACTATTATATTTACTATTATATTTAATATATTAATCGCGTAACCACGATGAACAATAAATATTTATTAAATATTTATTTTAACGTCAATATCGCATTCTCAAATTATAAATCATTGTTTTTAAAATTTTTATTTCTTTAATTAGAATTTTTTAAAATTATTTTATTAAGAGATTTCTGCTTTTAATAACGATATTTGTTAAATACAAAAAGTACAAAAATACAAAAATTACAAATACAAATACAATATATAACATATAATATAAAAATTGCACGACTCACCCGTATTCCAGAAGTTCTTTCTTTCCATCCTTCCCGATCTAAGTGCACTTCCCTAGTTCCACTCATTTCAGATTTTTATAAAAAATCGATCACTTATAACAGTTGGTTCATTTCCAGTGGAAATTCCACTGTAGATGGAGATAAAAGTAATTCCTTTCTTTGGTCGATACCAGGCATTAATTATCGTTTAATTTTCAAACATTATAGGTTTAGCGAATCAATTTGGTCATTCAGAGTTTTAGAGAACAAAAATCGGTAGATTTTACATAAGGAGATGGTATATTTAAAGATTTTGCGATAAAGATGGTCAAAATTGATAGAATTGATAGACCATGTGAGATACAAAGAGGAAGTGAGGGCCAACGTTATTTAGATGATTTTTTAGCCAAAGGCTTCATTTTCCTTGCTAGGACAATCAATGACTAACAACAACCAAGAATGTTAGTAGCCAATGGCTGATATTGTTAAAGATAGCTTTCCTTTCTCATATTTTTTATTGTACTGGAAAAAATTATATAGCTTTTAGGGAGTATCGCAGAATAAAATGAAGGGAAATGAAACACTGAAAATCCAAGAAACCGTCAAGGATGTTCGTTTTTTTCAACAAACCATTTTTAATAATTCGCTATTATTGGAAAATCCTTCTTCTTTTTATTATATTAATTATCAATGATTCATTATTATTAACGACAGAATGACAGAATGAACTGAATATGTCACTTTTAAAGTCGTTTCCATTCCTTTCAAGCCGATATTTTGAAATAATTTACTCTGTAAGTCTATCAAACAAGAAATAATGGGAGAGCATCGCAAAATCTTTTCGTTCTCCGTCCTGAAACATCGTACACCTCGTGGATTCAATTCACACGCCTAGGAACACCTTGTTCAGAACCATTACCATTAAAGAAAGAGGAAAAAGAAAAGAATTAAGGCTTGAAAAAAATAAAGTTAAAGAAAAGGAAAGAATGAATAAAGCTACAAAAAAAGTGAAGGAAAAGAATGAAAAATTTTAGATGTTAAATCATAATGGTCCATATGCGCAAATAATTCTCCCATGCAATGGTGGTTATTGGATGGATGGTGTTAATAGTTGTACTATAAATATTGATGATAATTTTATTTATAATAATAACAATAACAATAATAATAATAGTTGTGTTCGATATAAATTGGAAACTGATGATATCTCGCATTGTTATCGAAGATATTTTGTTGGAAAGGTCTTTTTACTATTTCTTAAATTGGTACCAAACTGTCTGCTTTTTATAATCGTGCTAATTACAAATCTATGAATATATAACGAAATGAAAGTAATATTGTTTGTAGGAGCATCATGATTTCTATGCCTTAGATATGCTTGGACCGATTGTTTTATCGGTTCGAACTGAAACAATATCATCTCAAGATCATTTTAGAATTATGCTAAGGACGCGATATGGAACTATTCATAAAATATTGCCTGCTAATGGTAGAATTTTTACAAATTTTTCAAATTTTTAAATTTTTACAAGCAATATGAAAAAAATAAATTTTAATTTATAAATATAAATTTAGAAATTTTAAAAAAATTATTTGGATAAATAACAGGCGAATTTTTGGTGAATATCCTCGTATTTTACTCAGATTTCTCTAAAGTTTATTTTCACCGGTACCTTTATTGAAATTGAGCACCTCTTTGAATGTAGGCAAAAAATCGCTGTAGAATTAGATTTACCTATAAAACATTACTATGAGATACAAGGCTTTATCACAGAGGCCTTTAATACAAAAAAATTTAACGACCTAAATTCTAAATACAAATTACAAATTTATTTGATTATAGTATTTCAGCCAAAAAGATTTGACAAAATATTAAGGTTTTTTATGGATTTTAGCATTAGCAAATCGGCCAACGGCAAGCCGTATGGCGAAATTACTTTGCGATGAAATCACAACAGAGCATTTTACACCAATTGCATTTCCTCGTGGCACTGATATGATTCTAAAATATGATGAGCATTTTATCACTAATACCTACAAATTCGGTATTATTTATCAGAAATTTGCTCAGGTACATTAATATTTTATAAATTTTATTGAAAAGTTTTATCGTTTTTTTTCATTTTTTTTTCCTTATTATTTTGTAATATTGTTAGTAATAAATTTTGTAATATTTATTTTTTATTATTTTTTATTAGTTTGCAAAGTTGTATAATTTTAGACGACAGAAGAAGAGTTCTTTGGAAACGCATTTCATTCAAGCGCTTTTGAGGAATTCTTAGATATTTGTGGTGAAAGAGTTAAACTCAAAGATTTCCAGGTTTCTCTCCATTCATTTCTTTTTTAATAATTCATTTTTTTCTCGGCTCGAAATTAAGTTTTATCTATTTGTCGTTTATTTATGGAAAATTTTTTAACTATTTTATGAACTATTAAAAGAATTAAAAATGAAATTCATCAATAATAAATGCACGCACCGTTTTTTAACTGCTATTTTCTCGTTTGCTTAAAGGTAGTCGAAATAAATTCTCAATTCTCAATGAGTGCAACAATCCAAGAGGCCATTCTATTCTACTCGAAAAATCCAAGAAATTATTGTTTATTTGTAGTCAAAATAAAAATGATAATTTAAAGGGATTTCGTGGCGGTCTCGATACTCAATATGGACAAACAGGCACCGAATCTATTTATACTCATTTTCGGCAAAATGAAATTATGTTTCATGTTTCAACATTATTACCATTTACGGTTGGCGATACGCAACAACTTCAGCGTAAACGCCACATTGGGAATGATATTGTTGCCATAGTATTTCAAGTTAGTCTTTAAAATATTTTTAATTTAAGGCAATAGCTAAACAATTTATTTACTATATTGGGTCTACTGAATGAATGAGTACCATACTTTGGCTGAGACCAAGCAGTTTGGGCTTCATTAAGAAAGATGACTACTGAAAATATATATACTATACTATACTATACATTGTGCCACTATATCCAAATCTACCTGGCAAAAATTTCACGTAAATATCACAAACGATCAGCAGAGTCAGTCAAAACCAAAGCAGTATTAAGAAAAAGATCACAAAAACCATTCGAACTAATGATCTAGCGCTTTAATTTCAGGACGAAAACACACCATTTTCACCAAATATGATTGCGAGTAATTTTCTTCACGCATTTATAGTTATTCAAGCAATTGATCCTTGTACACCAAACACTCGTTATAGAGTTAGTTAACTACAGTTAACTCATTTCAAAAATGCTAAATTATAAATTGCGACAAAAATAGCGAAAAATTTTAAGGTATCGGTAACAGCTCGTGATGATGTACCATTCTTTGGTCCAACATTACCTGCACCATCAATATTTCGCAAAGGTCAAGAATTTCGTATTTTTTTATTAACAAAATTAATAAATGCTGAAAACGCTGCTTACAAATCTCAGAAATTTTCCAAATTAGCTGTAAGTTTATTTTTCGTATTTCTCTTTATTTTACAAATATAAAAATAATAAATCTTTATTTTATAAATATAATATTTTACAAATATAAAATATTTAAATATAAAACAAATATAAAATATAATATTTTTAATTTAAATTAACGAATTTAAAAAAAAATAAAAAAATAAATTTTATTTTAAAATAAAAACAAATTAGATCGATTCTTCTATTTATTTTTCATTTTTTTAAAATTTTCTTTTAATTCTTTTTTTTTTTTTAATTATTAGTTATTTCATTTGAGGGAAGGACTCGTTGTTCATTACTTGATACCTTATATGCTAATTTGAAAGAACGAGCACAATTTTATGGTTTACCACTATTAGAATCAACCGCAAATCACCAACATGGATTTTTATATTCAGTAAAGAAAGCCATTACTGGAAGGTGTTTTTTAAAATTATTAGACCAATTTGATTTTTTTTTTTTTTTTTTTTTTTTTTTAGAAAAAAAGTCCAATTTATATTTTTTAAAGATCGCGATCCGTATCTCACGACGTCAATCAGAGCGGAAATCGTTCATCGTCGGGTTCGGATTTGAGTAGTCCAAGTCAACGATTTAATAGAAAATCGTGTCCAAATGCAGAAACGATATTAAAAAATGCAAATTATGGCAAATATTCACGACAAATTAATTTACGAAATCGGTGAATATTTTAATTTCCTAATATTTAACTGCTATTTTTTAATATCTTATTTTCCAATTCTCAATTTTTGTTCTATCATTTCATTTCTATCAAAAAAATTAGTGACAAGGTTCACGGATCCGATCCCTTTTCGTTGCAGTAGTACAGCTAGCATTACAAGTAAAATATGAATGAATGCTTGGAACCCACCTGTACCTCCGTCTCTTTTTAATTGGTTCTCCCGTAATTTTAGGTTTAATTTAACTAATTAATTTAGATCGATGTATGAAGAGGATTCTTTTGAAGATGAGCAAGCAAGTAGCGGAAGCATGGTATTACAAGCGTCAAGCAATAGTAAAAACAGTAGTAAAAAATTGTATGAATCAAATGACTCTCTAGGCAAATCTCGAGTTGGAATCAGGTTTGAGTTCTCTTTTTTTGCCCTAAATCACTTGTGAATTTATGATAAATATATTAAAATATTAAGTTTTTTTTTAAGTCGATTTCAACGAGAATGGGATTTATCGAGTGTTGATAGCAGTGAAATAGAACATGATTCAGATACAGGCCTAGTATGTCGCCTTATTACCACTAATTTTTAATTCCTTTTTTATTTTTATCTCTGCACGAAAAACTGATAATGATCACATGAAACAAGCGAGGATTTAAAAATATTTTAGAAAAAAATTTCCATATCTTTTTAATAGAAAAATTTTTTTAGAAAAATTACTTCAGGAATCAATGTCATCAATAGATTTACCGCTATCAAAATCGAATCGTTTATCGTGTACACTTTGCGTTGATGGTACATATCCATTACATGACGATGAGATAAAAAGATTAGATGAATTATTAATGGATGTTGAGAAATTAAAAATTGAAAAAATGGATTTATTAAAACAAAATGTTACATGTCGAACTGATATTAAAAAATTAAAAGAAAGGTTTCTCATTATTGCATAAATTTTTTAAAATATTAAAATATTTAAAATATTTATAAAATATTTTCATAAAAAACTGAAATTAAACTGAAATAAAAATTAAGCAACTAGTGAAAAAATTTATCATTCTAATATCGTTTACCGTTTCTACTTTGATTACCTCCACCATTTGCTAGAACAATTTTCAAAAACCTTACGAACTACACCTAATATTTCTGGTTTGGTTTCGTCCCACTACCTATAAGAACAATTCATTTTCTAGCCTTATGAACTGACGCTATATTAGAAAATAAAACATTGAAATAGTTAAAGCGGATAGAAAAATCCTTTCAGATTTTTTTCAACAATCTCGCCAATTTTTACTATAAAATTTTTTAGACAATCATTATTGTGTGATGATTTGGATAAAGCAAACGAAGAGATAGCACGCTTGAAGAAACTAATAAAACGACCAGCAGCACCAGTATCAATGTTAGAAAATACTAATTGTTAAAAACAGGTATCTCCTAAAATTTTACTTCATAGTTCATCCCTACATACCTCGTATATTCTTCGTTTTATATTTGTATAAACGCTGCCTTAAATAATCGAAAAGTAATTCGTAATTTCCGTTAATTATTTTCATATCTTTCTTTAAAAAAAGGTGTATATTTCTTATTTGTCGCCATAGTAAACTGTTTCTCTTCAAATTACTTTCCAAAAATTGATATTTTATTGATATAACTGATACTAATCCAAGTTTCCTTCGTTTCCATCTTATAATCAATGAAATTGAAATTTCATCATTCATGTAAATTCTGCATTATTCCTTCTCAAAATTTATAGAAAAAATTTCGTTGTCTGTCCATGACGGAACTAATTCCACGAAATAAGTGAAATTTATTTGTATCGAAATAAAAATTGAATTGAATCGTTTGTATGTTTGTAAATAAATGTAAAGCTTTAAATTTTGAAATAAATTTTTAATTTTATCTATGAAAAAAAATAAATTAATCACAGAGATGAAAAAATCGACGAACCCAGTAATGAACCCAAAATCCAGTATCACAAATATAACGCTAATTAGTTAGATAACAATTTATTTCAGTTAACAACAAGTTAAATTTACCAAATCAAATATCAATGATCATTACGAAAACAATATATATAAAACATATAAAAAATGAAGAGTAAAAAACCTTTATTAATAGTGATTCTTGTAATCAGGCGCTCTTATATTCTTTTGGCAATTCTTTGTGGTACAAAAACACACATGAAAAAAGGGAAACACCAACCATCATTGAAAATACAGAAAAATAATACGGATATGCACTACGAATAAATCTTTCATATTCTGTATGTTGCAGTGGGCGTACCGATACCTTAAATTTTTTCATTATGCAAAATTTCTTAAATCAAACGACATTATTAATTTCAATTAAAATTGAAGAAAATGAAAAAAAATGAAAAAATTAAAAAAGAACAATAAAGATGTGAACTAATCATAAATATCAACACTCTCTGTCTTTCCTAATCACCATCATCACCCTTTCAATTATTTGGGGAAAATTATAGACGCAATGAAAGCATTTATCAACTAGGATAGATAAGGATCGATCCCATGTTGTGAGCCGCTGAAGCGACTTAATTGCCAAGAAAATTTACTTTTATATAAAAATGTATTATCCTACCTGTTGTACATCAACAAGATGAGTGAAACCAATACGTCGATAATCAACAAAAAATTTAAAAACTCCATAGACATCAGGTAATTTAAAGCGAGCACTAAGTTTTCCATCTGTAAAAATTGTAAAAAAAATACAAAAATTACAAAATTACTCACTATAAAAAAAAATGATCAGATCAATCAGATTATTAACAAAAGAAGAAAATTTAAATAAAATCAAATAAAAAAAAATAGAAGAATAATCTTCCATTATTTATCAAGAAATTTTGATATAAAATCCTACTATTCTCCTTCAAATTTATTCGCACAAATGGATCAATGCGAACAAACTCCAACTGCACATCATTCGCTTTGAACGGCACCCATTTACCACCTTTTAACTCTTCTATTTCGATCGAATATTCTACTTCATCCATAATTGTATATTCCCGAGGAGGACTTTTTTGATTAATCTGAAAACTCCTCCCAAAAATTAATGAAATTAATGAAATAAAAAATTAATGAAATTAATGAATTTTTACGAACAAACTATAGAATAACAATTCACCTTATGATGACTGACAGATTTTACACGCAGTACACCTTTCTCCATGAAAACCCATTTACTTAATTCAGTGATAAAATAAAGGTTTCCACTTTTTACTGATCTATAAAAGACGTATTATTTAAAATAATTTTTAAAATGTAAATTTACCAATAAATTAAACACCTAATCTTGATTATCCGTTGTATGTATTTTAGATAAGGTTAAATAACATGGACCATTGCTTTTTGTCTCATTGACGAGGAGCTTTGAAATTAAAATTCAAAGGCAACTGAGACCTATATGTACTTGCATCTTCAAGCAAACTCTCTGGCAAAGAAAGGTTCTCACTCTAGCAAACAGTGGCGACAGCTAAGCTAGGAATGTTAAGTGCTCTAAGCAAAAAAAAACTGGAACGAACTCTGTTGTAGCAACTTTCTTAATATTCGCGTTTATAAAAGTATCACTAAACATAGCCAAAGAACCAGTTAAAACAACACGAGCATTATTTCGAGCTTGTAATGCACCAACCAATATTGTTGACTTACCGACAGCAGACGGATACTAAAAGTATTTAACTTTTGGAAGCACTATTAGGTGACTAAAGGGGCATTTTTACTATTTCGTTACAAAACTATGAGATAATACTCCTTTCAAATTTAAGATCTTAAAAAAACTTAATAAAAAATTTAAAAAAAATTTAAAGACTATTAGATCTAATCAAGTCCTCATTCCTTTGATAAGCAAATATGCCTGAAATAAGTAGAATATTTCTTGTATCATCTAAACTCTGATCCCACAGTTAATAAATTAGTGAAGTCATACATACTGTATTGCATGCAATCTGCTTTTACGTGGGATTAGAAAAATCAAACAAGATCTGATTTTCGCTAAAAAGATTTTACCTGGATATTAATGATATTAAACTGCAACTTAAAAAGTTAGAACTTAAGCGTAAATGCTAATGTAACTAGGAGTAATGGACTGAAATGAAATAAGCCTAGGAATAATGGAATAATAAATGAGCCTACCTACATGGCCATTATCTTTTCTCATAATTTTTTCAAATAAAAAAACTACTGGAACAAGTTGTCATTATCAGTAGTGACATTATCTTTGCTTCCTGTGTATCTACTTTTAAAAAAAAAGTCACCACTCACATCATCTTAGATAAACTATTCTGTTCTATAACTCATTTCATATTGCTAATTTCTTTTTACAATATTTCTCTATTATTTTGCTTTGTTAAAAAATAAATCCCTTTCCTAAACAAGCATGGGGCATATATACCAGAAGATTAATTAGCTCTCCTAGACCAAACTCCGCTGGGAAAAAATCAACAAAATATGTTAATAACGATAATAATACCTCCTCTATTTTGCTTTGCGGATTAAAAGAATAAGCCGTAGTAGAAGCTGTAAGTAATTCAAGACGTAAACGGTTTGATTTGTCAGTAACAAGCGCCGCTCCACGAAACAGGATAGGAGCATGTTGTTTGCCTTCTCCAACAATTAATGGTGCAGCAATTAGTTGAGAAGGTTCTGCTACAATGGTCGTATGATCACCCTCATCCTGCAGTAATAATAAAAAAATAAAATTGAAATTCATTTTATCATTATTAAAATATATATAATAAAATATAAAATATATAAATATAAATATATATAATAAAATATATAAGCATTTTTTACAGAAATCAAATTAAATAGAAATAAAATAGGAATAAAAATCATGGAATCCAAGAAAGTTTACAAACTTTACCGTTATTTCTTTTTTTTTTTGACAAGAGTTACCGAAAAGACATCTGGGAATAGAGATATAAGTACTGTCATCAGCAATCAACTTTTAATAATATATTTTAATCTTGTAAAGATAGGGAATCTTAAAAAGATAGGGAATGAATCCATACTACTCGCTTCATAGCCAAAAAAAAAATAATACTTTAATGTCGCCTAACGATTAGTGTTTAACCGTTTTACAGCCGATATTTCCAACTATTTTACTATCAAACATACCAAAGCAACATCGTAATTAAGATGATCAATAACACTTGTTCCATCTTCATCAAATTCAAAACCATTTTCTGCGGCAAGATCACGAAGTGCATCACCAACACGATTACCTGCTGTTATTAGCACATTTCCACCATTATCAATAAATGACACTATTTCACGAACATTTATGCTTCCACCGAATTCTAAATAAAATTAATATTTCCATCAAAATTGTCAATTGTCAAAATTACCATAAATGTTTATTATTATAAATCGGAGAAATAAAAATTAACCATCAACACCAGGAGCAAAAATGATAAGATGATCATAAAGGCTTTCGCCATATTTTGATAATGATAACGTTTGATCATCAGCTGCTTTTATCGTTAATATATGCCCACGATCTGTTAAAAAAATTTTCAGTTGTGAATTTATTTAGTTATTCAGGTATAAATTTTAATTTTAATTCATTTAATATAACACAATATAATTCAAATGTAAATATTTAATTTTTGCATAAAAAAATTAAAATCATTTCAAAATTTTGAAACATATTAAAATTTTATTTTTGCTAATTTAGTAGAAAAAATAAAATCGAAAATTTTTGCTGAAACAAATTATTTTTAATATTTTAATATCTTTTAATATTTTTAATATATTCAAAAAAAACCCTCAAGAGATTTAATAAATATTGAATGCGTTTCCTTAATATAAAGATTATCGACAAGTAGAAGAATTCGACCCGAAGAGATTAATGGAATAATTATTATTAAAATAAATAATAAAAAATGAGGCAATTTATTTTTGGCAATAAGATTTATCATAGTTTTTTTTTTTTGAACTGAAATTTTAATCAAATTAGATTTCACCTTACGATATACGTAATTATCACTATACGTAATAAATAAAATAACTTGGTAAATAAAAATTTTGAAAAACAAAGAAACAAAAAACAATAAAGCCTGCTTTTCAAGAATCGAAGTGACGACAGCGATTCGCCTATGTTGCATGAACTGCTCGGAAAATCTGCTGATAAGTCAACGGATACAGCCTAATCAGAAATCAAGGACGCTCTTACAGAAAAACATTTTTCTTCTTCTAACAGCTCTCACCATTACTGCTTAGGCTGGCTCCAATGGCTACAAGGGTAAAACGCTTCTAAGAATCTGCCATCGTCGGCAGTAACAGAAGCCATTTCTTTTTCTATCGTCTAAGTCCATATATTGCTGGTTCACCTTTACGTTCAAAATCTTTTCTGATGGTATCAGTCCAGGTCTTGATTGGCCCACCTCGCTTTTGACTCACCCAACACAGAGTTTAGCAAGTAATGAAACATGCGTCAATTCTTGTGGTGGGAGAGGAAGAACAGTCCTAATAGTCCTAGCGAAGGGTGACACTCTGTGATATTATTATTATTAATATTACTATATTATTATTAATATTTTTAATACAAGTGGTATCTAAACGAAGGTATAAAGTGCAATTTTATCTGCTTGGCGAATCCATAAAATATACCTTAGACAAGAGTGGTCAAAGGAAGATAACTTCTTAATATCCTTCACTCTCATTGGCCATGTCTCAGAGCCATATAGCAAGATCGAACGAATCACGGCTATATTGATGCGGACTATCGTTTTTATAGTGATTTCACGACGACTCCATAAAGGTTTCGTCAACCAAAAGAAGGCATTTCTAGCTACCGTGATCCGGGCTATAATATCGTCTTTTGCCTGGCCATTTGGTATTAGAGTGGACCCAAAGTATTTAAAATCGGCCACTTCCTCGATCAGCAATGAATTTACAAAAAGAGACATTTTATCAGCTTCTTGCATATAAGATGAAAAGACTTTCGTTTCGTTCACACTGACAATGAGTCCGATTTTTCTTGCAATTTTTTGTTTTTTTTGTTTGTTTGAAAAAATTAGGAAAATGAGGATTTGCAACAAAAATCATGGAAGCAAATTCGAAGATGGCCTATTCGCCAGCCGCGAATCGCATCAACGGACGACAACTTCAGCGAGAATTAGCTTCAAATCAGTGTAAATAAAATAGAAGTCACTCTCGAATTTACTTGAATTTATTAGCACAAATATATAAATTTATTGAAGAGAGATGCTGGCTTAGCTCCTCACCTTCCTAATGGCCAAGCAAAGGATAAAATGGACGACGACTAAATTTCTAATTTTAAGCTTAAATGAACGACCCCTCCCCCATCTCTCCCCCCTCCCCGCCACCCCCCGCCAAATGATAAAAACTATAAAATACGAAAATAAGTAAAAATAAAAAAACGAGTTGTCAACGAATGAAACAACGGTTTACTGTATAATTTAAATTCAAAAATAAAATTTAAAAACAAATGATCCAAATAGAAATAATAATTCTAAATCAGCTTTATAATAAATTCTTCTTTTTATTTTTTTGTTAATTTTACAAATTTTACAAATTTTGAACGACAAAACAAAGGAGTATATTCAAATTCATTAACAAATGAGAAATATAAAGCTGTTATATATGAAAATCTCGGTCTTGAGTGGAACATATCTTCAGATTTTGCAAATTTCGTCTTGCAAATCTTCGTTGCCATAAAGAAATTTTATAATATTTGAACAGGTGATGTAGGTTCGCGGTGGTGGGGAAATAGGCCGCATTTTGGGGTCCGTGGGACTCGTTGTAGCGTTGCCTATCTTGTTGGAGCCTTGGAGGCTATTTATTTTTATGCATTATTTATATTTTTATTATTTATATATTTATTGTATATATTTTATTATTATATTATTTTATTTATATTTTATATATTTATTTATATATTTTTTTATTTTACTGTCTTTTATGTCATTTTTTTAATTGTCAGATTTTTAAGAAATCCGGAATTTTTGAAATAATTTTACTTAAATTCTAATTTAATTTCTAATTTAATTTTAATAAAATATTTAGTTCATTTAGTGTGGAAATGATTGCTAAATTATTTTTATGCAAACAATGCAGCAGCATTCAATTTCGTCACTTCAATATTTCTGCAGCTCTTCAAGGTATTATTTTTTGTTTACCTAATTATTTTTTAATTAATAATTAATTATTTCTAATTATTTTTTATAAAATCTATCCATTTCTTCTTTATTCTAATAGAAAATATCATTAAAACGATTTCATTAGCTGAAACAGTGAAGCATTTTTAAGCTTCTCGTTGTGATATCACATTTGAAAATAATAGAAACAGTTGTTTTTTTCCACTGAATAAATCTGTACAACGCTGTGCTGTTTATACTTTTAGAATCTCTTCGTTTGAATCATTGACTTGAAATCAGCCTTCTGATTTTTTATGCCATACATTACAAGGTTTGGCATATTATAATAAGCTATGTGCTAAATTGCAGTGGTTGGTAGCGAAAAGTGTGGTCTAACTAGCATCTCTTTATGTCAATGCTATTTGTTCATATCTTAATCGATGTTATGATGTAAAATATTAGCCGTTCGGCGAGTGCGTATAGTGCTTCGTGGAAAATAAAGTTTAAAGTGGATAACTTCTTTTCATCTTCCAGTTTCATTGGTAGTATTGAGTACTTTAGTGAGATAGTGTGAGATTTTGTTTTAATGCTGATTTCGCAGCTTCACGAAAGTTTCATCGAAAGAAAACATTCCAGTGGCACCTTTCAGAATTGTAATTTCATAGATTGTAATTTACTTTTACCTTTTCAGTAGCACCTTTCAGAATTGTAATTTACTTTTACCTTTTTTTTTATACTGAAGAGATGTTGGCTATCAAACTCTATTTTAAACTGCGGTATAGTATCCGTTATTCTTCGTTATTATTTATTATTCGTTATTATTCTGTCAGAAGAAAGGATTTTATCATCTCTTTCAAGATCTGTAATGTTGTAATTCGGTTGATCTGCAAACATTTTAGTGGCGAAAAGCGATTAATTGAATATAGAAAAAAAAGCTGTTGGTAGCAATTTTTTCAGTGAAAGAATACATTTTGCCATATATCTATGATTTGTGTTGATAAAATAGCTTAATATATCATAACTCTCCATAAAATATTGAGTGCTTCAGAACGCCCAGTTTTCTAGCTTCATTGTTTGGTCAGCGGATTTACACGGATTTAGTCTAGTTTGGTTTAGGACGTATACTTTTCATGGGTAAAGAAAGATCTCATGGTTTGAATACATTTTCTTTTACTATTGAATGCATTTTTCGAAGGAAAGGATGATGAGTAGCATGAAGCCATATTTGAAGAATTCAGCCTGATATCTATCCTTTATCCAGGAATTTTATTGATATTGTTTTTTGCTTCTGAGATTTTTTGAAATAACTTTTATTTATTAAATTTGCTCTATTAAAAAATCTTTCTCTAAAAAAAAGATTAAAAAAGATCAAAATTATCGTAGCTGCCGTTACCTGTGACCCTTTCCAAATTTGGTACACCTTGAGTATATTGAGTTAACTGAAATATTTTGGCCAAATCTTTGGCCATCCACGGTCATTTATGCATTTTGTATGGCGAAAAACTTTTTAAAGGGAAATTGAGGTTTGTTTTTAGAAAGAATATTTAAGGAAACCGCATTTATTGATTCTTTGTCGGTTTAAATGGTGGTTTCCTTTTTTTAAAAGGTGTAGTTTTTGCCATTTTAATTGATTTTTTATAAATAATTAAATTATTTTTAAATTGTGTAGTACTTCATGGACCAATTATTCATGAAAGTTTCAGGTTTCTAAAAATGGTGTAATTTATGCCATTTTAAATGAATTTTTATAAATAAAATGAATTGTGAAATTGTTTAGCACTTCGTGGACCAGTTATTCATGAAGGTTTCTATCCTCGTGATTATAAACCGAGTTTGCTTTATCCAGAAACAGAAGAGGATCGTAAAGCTGCAGCAATAAAATATGGAATGAGACCAGAAGACTATAAGTAAGACTTTCTGAATGTTTAAATGAAAAGTTTTTCTAAAATTCATTTTAGATTCCACATTCTTAATTCAATTAATTTTTTTCTTTGATATTTTCATTCAAACTAAAGAAATAATTATTTCTTTATTTTACTGTAATTTCACCTTAATATTCATTATAACCACTGCATCTATGGCTACAAGAGTGAGGTCTCTAAATCTATCCGCTCCATCTCTGAATTTGAGAAATCATATATCTCCATATTCCCTCCATTGAGAATCTTTTTTGATCGTTCCAGTCTTGATATTTCTCGCTTTTGCCACCATCAGTCAGGAAAATTTGGTGAATACGCCAGTTGCTGGGATGTGCCGTGAAGATCAATATAATTTTTAGCATTAATATATGTGACATTCGAGAGAAGATGGTTGTCAATTATTATTTGTAGGCCAATTGACAAAGAACATGTCAGATATGCTGGTGATTACCCTGATGTTGGAATCGTCACTTATGATCATAAAGATCCTTATGAAAATTGGAGTTATCCATTCTATCGAAGAAATTGGGGTGAAATGGTAATTTTTAATTTATTTATTTATTAATTGATTGCAATATGGTTGAGTTGGTTACTATTTATTTTGCTCAGATCTTGGAAATATATTGAGCTGTATGTATTGAACAATATAATATATTGAACTGCGCCATCGATAATGGATAATAGTAATAGGTAATAAATATCATCGGTGCTAGGCCATGCGATTATCTAGCTTTTCGGAGTCATCAACTAACTGGCCATTTAAAGCTCGATTGTTTAGCTTAAATACTTATCTTTTTTTGTTCCAGCAGTAGACATTATTATTGGTTAGGTTGTGTCTTTGGTCGTGAAATGTTTCCAGATCTCTCGATCTGATTCATGCTGTATTCATTATAAGGTTTGTTATCTGGTGAGATATGCAGATGGGTAATAAAGAAGGTCACTTGTTCAGTATATATGACGCATTTTGTTTTTTTTGTTACTGATGCAGGTGGAATTCTAGTGAGGATATCACATGCTAAACTCTTCTCAGTGAATAAATTGTTCTGACTGGAAATAGTTTCCGAATATCTTCCACTTTCATTGGCTTATTTATCTATTTTATTTTATTTTTTTACTGAAAACAGTGAACCAAGGCAAGTTGCAGTATGAGAAAGAATCAATAAGCAATATCAGTTTACGAAAGTGCAAAATTGTATTATCTTTGTAATACATAGACTTTTCTTCTTTATTTATGGTTTAATATTCCTTCATTTAAACTCTGTCGGCGTAATTAGTGATTGATGATGCTCTATTGGTTTTTTATAATTTCAAGCAGTCCAGAAATCTTTGGATTGGAAAAGGATAAAGGTTTTCGAATACAATTTATGCTTAACAAAAAATTATTAATTAAAAATTATTAAAATAATATATTAATAAATAATAATTAAAATAAAATTATTAATTATAGAAAATTATTGAAATCGTTTAACTATTAAATATAAGATCTTAAGTCTTTTAAAACCTCTATGTATAATTAGATAACGGGGCTACATACTAAAGTTCAGATAAATATTTAAATTTTGTTTTTGATGTTAATTTCATAGCTATTCCAGGATGATTTTGCTAGAGAATTACATTAGCCATTTGTATAAAAAAGAATTTAAAATTTACTTACTGGTGATGCATTTATTAGAACTTACTGGTGATGCATTTATGATTTATAAATATTGCAGTATGAGTACTATATCAGTATTTTATTTATTAAACGAAACGAGTTTCGTATTATTTACATTAAACTGGTGACTGATCAAGCTTTTATTTAATTATTCGACCGTTATATTATATTCATCCATATTTTCAAATTTATTTTAGTTTTGATAATTTCCGTGCAATCTATTTCAAGGTACAAAAAAATTTATTCTTTTTGCTGAGAATCTTTATATTTTTAAAATATTCCTCATTTCAGGTTTCAATAGATGCTATGCGATATCGACCGGATCGTATTGCATATACTGGTTTGGACGAAGAAGAATTCAGACCGTTAGTTTTTTTTCCATCGATAATACAAATTGAAGAGATTCTCATAAGTTTCAAAGATATTATTTTATTTTGTTATACTAAAAAATTTTATTAATATTTAATATTAATAATATTTATATTTATAATAATATTTTTTTATTTATAATATTTAATATTTTTATTTATTTATTAGTTTCATTATGTAATTATTCTAGACTTTATAATTTATATCTACTTTTACGTGTATTGGTGCCCACTTTATTGATTATATGGTTCGTCACTCAACGAGAAATCTTGCCATATCGATGGAAAAATCCAATGGTTCTTTTTTAAATCATTATGTAATCTTACTGAAAATTGGAAACTAAGATCGTTCAATATTTTTTGTACTGGAATTAGACTTTTTGCCATGTTTTCAATGATCTTCTTATTTTCTTTGTCTACTTTTAAATTACGATGTTATGAATCTGATCGTTATTTTTCCCTTGTTTTTCTTCTTTTTAGTTTATTTGTCTATTTCATTTGCGGTAAGAAACAGGGAATTTCAAGACGAAATTTGTGCTGACAAATTATTTAATCAATTTTTTTAAAAATTATATTTGATTGGTAAATGATTGATAAATTTCAGATGCCGAAACAGTATTCATTGGACTATTATCGAGCATATCCATTCGAAGATCCTAGAAATTATCCGATTATCAATTATACTTTCGAACCTTTCGATTAATGTGAATCGTTAGAGCAGTGGATTTCATATATATAGCTATAACTGAAATAAAAATTGAAAATCGGTTTCGAGAGTTTCAGTCATCACTGAAGATGTGAAATTAATTGATAAAATAAATTCCATTATTAATTAGTGAAACCAATTATTGTATAAAATAAAGTCAGTTTTGCTGCAAGGTCTGCCTTCATTTCCTTATTTCATCGGAAACGTCATATTTTTATACTTTTTTATTCCATAAAATAATGTTCTGAGTATCTTGCTATAATTTTATTTCAATTTATTAAATTTTTAATTTTTCTGGCAAATTCTGTTCGGAAAAACGTTTCAGTTATAAGAAATAAACAGCAAGTTAGCTTTTACGAAAAGCTTAAGTTGTATTCTCGTGTTAATAAGATAGAAGCATCGAAATGTTATAACTTTAAAGCCATAGTTCCATAGTTAAATTTTTTACGAAATGGAAAAATACAGCTGAAATATTCAAATGCTGGAATGTTTTAAAGGAATAAGCGGATTTGAAATAGTAAACTATGAAAATAATGGAATTTAAAGAAGTCAGGTATTGGTGCTGAGCTTTCAACGATTTCAAACGACTTAATTTATTCTCTGCTGGCGATCAACATACTGGGCAGTGTTGTATTTATAGTGACGAGCAAAGTGCGAATTATGTATTTCTACTTTTGAAGTTTCGGCTTTTCGACTAGAGCAATTAGTTTGATATGTTGTATTTAGAAGATTTTTTAGAATGTTAGTTTTTATCATTTTATCATTTATCATGTTTTAATTGAGATTTAAGTGTATATAAGTCACATTTTTTGCGAATTTTTTGTTGAATAAACTTATAATGAAAGATTTTTCGTCTGTAATATTAAAGGAATGAATTCGTTGTTTTTAGTAATCGAGCACCTCCCTCAAGAAGTACGCGATCGTTTGGCAGAGATGCGGAACCTGGACGCTACAGTGCAAAGTTATTTCATCTTTTTAGATTCATCTTTTTATACATCGTTTATTATTTCAACAATATGCATCGTTTTCTGGAAATATAGTTTGGTCCGTGGATTTCGCTTTAAATCTAAACCTAATAATAAGATTTCCTTTCATCAAGATAATAATATTCTGAATATCGCCTAATATTTAATTGTAATTCTTTTTTAAACCAGTGAAAATTTCAGAAGGGATGGAACTAATCAATCGAGCAAATAAAGATTTGTTTGAGCAGTGGGCAAGTTTATCTCAAGAAGAAAGAAATCGGCGAAAAGCAAAAATAAAAGAGGTCCAATTTTATATACAATTTCTTTTTTAATATTTCCTAGTGTAATATTATAATTTTCGCTATTCTATTTTGAAATTTTTATGGTCAATTTTCATTAAGGAATACGCTAGAATGCGTGCATTATCAAATGAAAAAGTAGCAATTGCCGATGGATTATGTAATTTATTAGAAAAGTACAGCAAGAAGCTCAGTAAAGAAATTTTACATTTTAAATATGAACTGGAAGCCGATAATCCGGGAATAACAGAACAAATCGAAAAAAGTATGCAACTTTTTAAATTATCAGTTATTTTTATCAATTTCTCTTATTTTAAATATATATTCAATTGCAGAATTTTATGATGCAGAACGTGCTGCCTTACTTCAGCGAAAAGAACGCAAGTTTCAATATTTTTAACGGTTTTATTTTTAAAAAATATAGTTGAAATAAGGAATCCTAGATAGATTAGTTGGTTACATATTTTTTTAAAGAGTCGTCACCATTATTGGTTAACCTTTTCGCTGGCTTATCGCACTGGACAAATATACCAGGGAATCCCTTGGCGACAGAAATACAGGTAAGTCGCCAGTATCACCCGGATTTTTGGACAGATTTACTCCAGATTTACTGCATTGGTTGTATTAATTATTTTAAATGATCTTAAATGATAAATTACGTTTGAATCTGCAAAGCTGACAATTTGAATAAATAAAAATTAATTTGAAGGACGGAAAAGAGCAAGGGAAAATACTCAGAATTCGCCATCAATTGTAAATGGCCTGGAAAGTTCAAAAAATGATGGCTTTGCTGGTTACTTATTTGATTCACTTATTTGATAATTATTTGATATTTGGCATTAAGCAAAGAATAGTTGAAAGAGTAATAGATTAGTTAATTTAATTGAATATTAAATTTTTTTTCAGCTTTGTTTTCAGCTATGTTACCAAGTATATTTATTTAATCTACAGGTGATGCTAGTAGTTCAAGTGAATCCGATGCAAGATTAAGTATGAATCGTGATCGGACTAACAACCATATACAAGCTGATGATGCTATAGAAAGTCGTATCACTGGTCTTCTTGCTAATGTTGAACGAGAAATGTCCGAGATGCAAAGAGTATTATTTGAAAATTTTCTGGAAAATAATCTTTTTTTGCGACAATTGATCATAAATAAATAATGTTTTTTCCAGAAACGGGGTTTGGGTAAGTTAACGAGTAATGTGTCTGGTACTTTATCGTCACCTACATTGATGTCATTTCCGCAAAATGCTGAAAAAGGTATATTCTCGTTAACATCCATAATCATTGATATTCCTTATAAATATTTTTTCGTTCATTTAGTATAAAATAAAAATTTGCATAAATTTTAGGAGCCGATCGTAATACCGGAAATATCGGAAATATTACAACAATGTCTGTAAGTCAAATTTTTTGTTCGCCTATTATTTAACTTTACAATTACATAATTAGGATTTTCAAATAATTTTTTTAATTTTTTCCTCTGCTAATTTTGTAAGAAAATACCTTTAAGCATTAAGCATTAGAAACTAAGCAGTCAGCAAAAGTTCTAATTTTTAAGGGTTTTTTGATACATTTTGTTGCTTTCATCAGATTAAGTTTTTATTTTTATCTTATCTTTCCTTCCATTAATAATCTTTAATTAAATTATGCTTATTTTAGGTCACACCTTCAGCACTGTTTGGAAGTCCATCTAGTATTTCTCCAAATATTCCATCAACTTCATCGATGCTTTCATTCGCTGGACCTGAGAGTCGCCATGGAAGACCAAGGAAGTCAGTTTGAGTTACTTCACATTTGGTTGTTTTTTTTTCTTCGCTCCTTTCACTTTCATCTTATTATGCAGGCTTACTCCAAGAGTCCAAGAGATGATAAAGGATACGATCCAACGGCAGGAACGTCGTACCCCATCTCAGCATCCTGAAGCTGATGAAACTTCGGAATGTGATGAGTCTGATCACGACAATGATAAGCGTAATTGGTGTATATGTAATCAGGTACTGAATTAAGTATTTTCGAATAGTTTTATGAATATTAATGTGCTGGTTTTTTTATTTTATGTGAAATTTCGCTAAAGTTTGTAAAGCTTGGAAAATCTCCAGTAAAGATCTGAATTTAATAATAGTTTTATTTTTAAGGGATAGGAACCTAACATTTATAGCGCTATCTGAAGCATGATAAGACATAACTCGTAAAATAACCAATAAAATAAAAGGAAAAAGAGATGTTTCTTTTCTGTTTTTATTTTTATTAGAAATTCAAAGAAGATATGGCTGAAAAATTATTCATATAAATATTTATTATAATAACTTAGAAATCATATGGATGTATGGTTGCTTGCGATAACAAGGAATGTCCTGTTGAATGGTTTCATATTGCTTGTATTGGTTTAAGTCAGATTCCGAAAGGAAAATGGTTTTGTTCGCAATGCATTGGAATGAATGATGGAAGAAACGATTTGGACGATATATAATTTTTGCTTAGTTATTTGTATTTTTGTTTGAAAATCTGTTTAATTGGTTTAAATGCTTAAAATTTGAAATCTCTTCTTCCTTTTAATGTGTTGATATGAATAAATATTTCTCATATATAAATATTCCATTCATGTTTTTATCCATTTATTTATGCTCGAATAATTTTCAGTTTTTCTGATTGCTGCTTGTTTCTTAAAATAATTTAGCCAGAAAAGCTGAGAAAGTGATATTATTGTCGAAATAGCTTTTACCTTGATTTGTCGCTCATTCCTTCTTTTTTTAACATCATCAATGATCATCAATGGTTGGCTACCAAGCCTTCTGATCCATTGCTATGTCTGGAATCAAGTGGAACCCGTCCTCTTTCAACCATCTAAGCCTATACTTCGCTTACTTCAACAAAAAAAATTATTCTCAAAATATATTTTGTAGATATATTTTAATATTTACGTTCTAAGATGAGTGCGTGAACATCCCATCAAATACCAGTAGTCCATCATCACTTGATTGTAGCACCATCGATTCGATTGATAGAGAGTTTCTGGAAAGTGATGAATATAACCGTGTTCTAGAGATTATTGGGCTCATAAAGGCATTTTATGAGTGTACGTCAGCGCAGGTCTTTGCATATGGGAAACCGACAAATTCCTTCGAAATAAGAACTGGTATTTGTCAATGCTGTGTCCTTTTCTCTACAATATTCAACTAAGCGATAGATTGGATAATGGACACTGCTTGTTGGTACTCAAGAGATATTCAAATCAGTCCAGAACATCGCACCACAAATCTTGAATCGCTGATGATGTAGTCTTTTTTGCTAACAGTTATGACGGAATGCAAATAATGGTAAATAACGTGTCAGAAACTGCAGCGAGAATCAGGATCAATAAACGTCTTATGTGCGAGAAGTTGATAAAATGCTTCTTTTTGTAAATTTATTGCCAGTTGAGTAAATGCCCGATTTCAAATTCTTGGGTCCACTCTAATACCAAATGGATAGGTAAAAGATGATAATACAACTCGGATCACGGCAGCTAGAAATGCATTCTTCCGGTTGACGAAACCTTTATAAAGTCGTCGTGAAATTACATTAAACGATAGCCCGCATATATATAACCGTAATCCGTTCGATCTTGCTATATGGCTCTGAGACATGGCCAATGAGAGTGGAGGATATTAAGAATTATCACTCTTAGCCGTCTAAGGTACGGCTCCATCGAGCTGATAAAATATTATATGATCGCAGCCAACTTCGTTCAAATGCCACTTGCATTAATAATGATCATAGAGCATCATCTTCGCTGGTTAGGACGCGTTCTTCGCCCACTACAAGAATTGATACATTTTTTGTTACTTGCTAAACCCTGTGTTGGGTGGCGTGAAAACCGAGGTGGACCAATCAAGACCTGGACTGATACGATCAGGAAAAATTTTGAACGTATAAGTGGACCAGTAATATATGGGCTTAGACGATGGAATGGCTTCTATTAATGTCGACATCAGATGTTTGGAAACATCTTTCTCTTGTAGTCCTTGGAGCCAGCTTAACCAGTAATGGTGAGAACTGTTAGGAGGAGAAGATACATATTTTAAGGCATACACATTTTGAACATGCAGGTGCATTACCTTTACCTAATCCACTGAACTGAAATTATGCCCCTATTTTCCAGGACCACTTTGCGCAGTGGAATGCCACGGTGAGATTAACTTCTTACTTAAAGTTGGCTTGTGATCCAAATGCCCTCTTTGCTTTTGGTTCGACGATTCCACAGTTCAAGTTGTGAATGTTTTCCTTCACATCTCATTCCTCGCAAATCGAACTTTTGAAAACATTCTGTTTTCTTCGATAAAGTGAGAAACGACTGAAATGAGTGGCAAAAACCGTGCAACTCACGAGGAAGTATTCGCATTTCTACTAATTATTACACTAAAGAAATGATCCATTCAGTTGGCAGAATCGCATTAATGATCTGCAATTTATTAACCGCAGCCGACCCGAAATATTTGATATTCTGCAATCTCAACGAATTTTCGAAAATATTAGAGATATTTGCTCTGCTCATAAAGTAATAATATTAATGTTTAATTAAATTTTATGCATATTTTCGGTCATTTAAAACTTGATCTAATTCCTGTGATTCCTAATTCCTCACTGAAAGCAAATTTTTTGTTTTCTTCTTTGATAACAACTAAAGGATAAAGGAACGCCGGTCGATAAACGCATCTAAAATTATGAATAAGATTTTAACGGGAAATAATCGGATATCGAATGTTATGAAGATATTCAACGAAGATTCCGATTTTGGAATTTTCCCCAATATAAATCCGTTTACTGACTTGCAAATCAATAGAACAATTTGGAATGCAGAATTCGCGTTCATACATGAAGTAAACTTATATTTGAACAATTAACAAAACATATGAAAAGAATTGGCTTCATCTATAACTTCAGCTTGGTACGGCGCCAGTGTCGTCTTTTTGTGTTGTACCTAATTTTATTTCCAGCTTTCATTCGTGCCCACTGCGGTATTGGCCTAAAAAATTTAGAAAAATCGAAAAATGAAAAAAACATCTGTCCAAATTGAAAAATTTTCGAAACACACAAAAGATTATGCAAGCAAATTGATCGATTGATCTTAAGATTGAAATCTTATTCTTATCTTATCAAATATAAAAATAAACTAACTTATTTTGTTTCGCCTTCTTAGCGAGTTTTCGCTTAATAATGAAAGTTTTGTGTGCAGCCATAGCCTTTAACAACTCAGAAGAATTACTTTCCTGAAACAATAATGAGCATCGATCAATGAAGTCAAAAATGAAGTATGCTGGAAATCGCAATAAAATATTTTTTTTGGGACATAAAGAACATTTTTAAACTATTTCTTTTTGCAATCTATAAATCAGTCCACACAACGAACCCCGTCCACTGTGGTACTTCTGCTCATTTATGCTGTCTAGCAATTTGCTATTCTTGTTCTCGAAAAAGAAAAAAAGCAACACCATCGCGCTCAATTTAAACGATGATGATCGGTCAAACCATCCTCAAATAACCGCATAAACTTTCTCAAGATGAGAAAAATAAGAGCTGTTAATCGTCACCAAATTAAACGTTGGCACCAGAGTGCCAAACATCCTCTGGATCATCCCAGTCAATAAAAAGCATAAAATGAGAAAAGCGACGAAATCCGAATGCATGTTTCTCGCAATTCTCTATAAATGAAGTTCCCATGCCCCTTAGTGATTCACCTGGTCATCTAAACCTAACGTTCATGGGAATTTCATTTCTCCGCAGCACTCATCGCTTACGATTGCTCTATTACAACTATGATAGAGCTAATTATTTTGAGAATAACGATAACACTCTGGCAAGGAAGTCTCCCTTAGGGAAAGAAACACCCCCGGAAATTCCTTCTACGCCAGGCACTAAACTACAGGTTTGAGTTCATAACCTCTGTATATATTTCCCAATAGATGAAGGGGGAACGATAAACCATCCAAAAACAAGGAGAAATGATATCACATACTCATCCTTCAAGCAAAAACGCCGAGAATGAATCCACTTAACACCTAATATTTTGGGCGTCCGCGAAATGATAAAACTCAGCTTCTTCGTGTGGAAGGATATCGCAGCAGAAGAGAACAGTCGACGCGAAACAAAAGCCGCAATTTAAATATTGCTTGATATGCAGCAATCCATAGCAGTGCTAACTCCAACTCTTTATTCAGTGATATAATTCTATAGAAAATTGGCTGAACTGCACATTCAGACATTTCATTCAGGAGTAGCCTGCAAATATTCCGTGGTACCTCGACCGTGACAGATAGGCCTAGTGGAACTTTAATTGTGGCAACGGGCCTAACGTTCTGTACTGGAGTTATGGATCTTATATGCATTTAGTTTCATTCTTCATGTGCAATTTTCTATTAGCAGGAACCAGTAGAGTTTTAAGCGTTTTGTATAATAATTTGCATGCGGTTAGCCTACCAATATTTCTTTTACCGCAGACTTTACTATATTACATGAAAAACGTAAAAAATGTCATTTCTTAATATTTTATTTTCTTTTATAAAAATATATAATTATATTTAATATAAAAATAAGTAGATAAGCCATTTTCATTGAAAATAACTGGAAATGTTGAGATATTTCTTGCATTTTCGCGTTCGCCTTTTGTTGATATACGCAAATTTGATAAATAAAATTTAACAAAGAAAGAGCAAAATGAAAGAATGCGTAAGTTTTATATAACTCGAAATGAACAAATCAAGCTAACAAATTGATAAGAATAAATAAATGAACATTAATAATAAACAAGAAATGTTATGTATTTGTAAAATATACCAACCTTAAATTAAAACATCATTTGATAAGATTAGCTTTTTGAAAGCCTCTGGAACTTCATATACAACATTCGCATTCTCTTCTGAAAGAAAGAATAATATAAAATAATAATCACAAAAATTTTTCCCCTTCAAATTTATATTTTTCTATATATTTGTATTTTCTTTTTATAACTCATTACGTATATATTTGTTGATCAAATTACTAATAAAAGGAGAAAAAATAGGTATCACTTACCGTCGCAAAAATCTTTGGGTAAATTACATCTCGCAATCATTTCGCAAGGTATTATTTTACGATTGGATGAAGGTACACTATTTAGCATATTCCGAATAATCTCTCCAACTGTTTGTGATGAATTTTCAAGTAATTCTTTGGCATACTCAGCTGCAAAACGTCCAATATCTGGAGAATTCGGAGAATTCAGTACAAATCCACAATTTCAAAAACAAATTTACTAACAAAAACTTTTATCGGGAGGACAAAGAGCAGGATAATGTGCAATTACGCCACAAATTAATTCTTCGTCGGAGATGATGTAATCTTCGACATGTTGCCTTAAAAACAATATGATATGCACTTCTCCCTAAATGATGATGGAACTTTTGAAAGAGATTTTCGATTTTTTCCAAAGAAAAGAATTAATTTAATATACCAGACACACTCGTGGTCTTTACATATGCCAAACAATTCGTAAGGACAAAGTGGACGCAACGGATCGATTTTGTTACTTATGCTTTTATGATGAATAAATTCGTAAGGAAATGTGGAACACAACCTGAATTTCTTAGCTAAATTGAAATTACTGCGATCATTTATATTTCTTAGAAAGCCTGGAAAACTTTTGAATTGCTCAAAACTTACCGATATCCATTAAACATAAATAAAGGATTATTTTCCAGTTCGGAACTTATTTCCTCACAGTCTAACCCATTTTCTTCACTTGTAACAATCTGTTTTTTTTGCTTTAGCCTATTTTTTTCGTTTCCTGCAACGCAATAATGATTTCGTGTTGAATTAGGCTGCACTAGTTGATTTGTTTCTCGCTCATCAGATGGACAATATGAAAAAATATTTTCGTTCGCCTGTGATGTATCTCCTCCAGTTCCTATAGCCTGTAAAAAATAGATATATTTTATACCATACCATAAGAAAATAATGAGTTAAACTATCTAAACTAACCATTTCATCAAATGACTCTGTAGTAGATTTCATGAAGGCATATTTCGAAAATGTTTCTTCTGTAACACCAGTTTTCTCTGAATCAAATGTCAAATTAGATTCTTGAAAATTTCCAAGATTTTCAATAACGCTAGAATGCACAGGATTTTCATTGAATATCATATCAGAGCACTCATTAACTTTGTCAGCAGATGATGATAAAGCAGCATTAAATGAATGCGAGCTTGGAACTGTTTTGGGAAGACTATGGTCGTGAGAAATTTGCTCTGGATAAACCATCATACTACCATTATCTTGAGGAATTTCATTAGATCCAACTCTCTTCCGTTTCCGTACATTTGCAGTAGTATACTTTCCAAATTCCGAACGCCTTTCGCCAGTTTTTTTCAATTTTCTTTCAGTTATTTTATCAGCTAAATCAGCTTTAACAACTGCATATTTCTTTTTTAAATTGTATAATCGTCCCTGTGCACTTTTTAAATCATTCCTCAGGGAAAATACTTTTCCTTCAACTAATCCAATTTGATATGAATAATTTTCCAGTTGTTCCTAAAAATTAAAATAAAACCAACCATTTTTGAAAATATAATATATTTATAACAGCGATCGATTTTTTTTATATTTACGATTTTTAAATTTATTATATTATATTATTATAACATAATAAATTTAAATTTATTATAATTTATATTATATTATAACGTAGAGTAAGAATTCTTTTTCATTTTCTTTTGGTTGAAAAATTATAAAATTTATAACTTCCGCAAAAAAATAACCAGTAATCTTTCTCGCTTCTGGCAAATATATATTCTTTCAGAGTCTTTACGATATAAACGGTTCTCTATGTTCCGAATTTCAATCTTTTCACCTTCAATCGACTTTTCAAGTTCCTTTAATTTTTGCCTTTCGACTGCAGAAAAATATCGCCTTGAAATAAGATAGAAAATAGTTAAGATCAAAATTAAGCCGAATTTATATTGAAATAATCTGATTGATAACCAAATAATATGTTAAAAAAAAATTTACCTGGAAGAAACATGGCCAATATCATCGACTTCATTCTCTTTCCTCATTGAATTTTGATTTTGATTCAACTTAACAAGGAAGAATTGTAAAAAAAATTTGTAAATTTAAAAATAAAAAAACTTTTATTTTAATGCTTAAAATGAGGCTAGAAATTCAGAGGATGTTTTTGTAATTTAAATAGTACATTTTTCTGGTAAGCTCTAATGGAAGATTTTTGGCCATTTTCCGATTTATTTTTCGAAATCCTTGTTTCCTTCGAAGATGCCACTTCTTTGATATGAGAAGATGGTAAACTGAAATATTCTTCTTCAATTGATTATTAACTTGGGAAAAGTTTTTTGTTTATAAAAAGAAAGTTTTATAAAAATAAAAATAAAAAAAATCTAACAAAAAAAGAACGAACATTTCATCACCGAATGGAATTATATTAGAAATTTCTTTGAAATTTTGAAAAGCAGTCACATTATTAGATTCTATAGATTTTAGGTTGTCATCGTTATTAAAGCTGTCACTATTTCCGTCCTTATTCATGGTATCATTCTTTTTCTTTTTCACCTAGAAAAATAATTTTTTAATTAAAAATAGCCGGTAGAAAATAAGTTCAATAAAAAGTATTTCAAAACCATCTGATTTGCTTTTATTCGTTAAAAAACCTGTTCTAGCAAAGCAGCACGAAGTTTTTCAGCTTCATCTTCATGATCAGTAGACTGTTCCTTAGCAATAACCATTTCACTATTTTGCTTAGAAGAAATATTCATGGAATTATCCTGCTCTAAAATAGACCAGTAACAGAAATAATAACCAGAAAAAGGAATCAAATTCAAAAAATTAAGATAAAAAACATATAATTAAAAAAGTGAAAGCAAGATATGAAGAGAAAATTTTAATTAAATCAATTAATCAATTTTAAGCGAAGAATAACAAAAAATTACTTTCATCGTCGCTATCGACAATTTCCATAGCAAGTTGTTCATAGTTGTCGCCACAGATTTTGCCTTTATCAGTGGCTTTTGCTTCAATTTCCATTCGAGTATCATGCAGCAACTTATCCCAACTTAATAATTACGAAAAATTTTGAAAATTGATGAATCAAAATAAAAATTATGAACAAACTTTCATATGAATAAACCGAAAACCAAAATTTTCAGACGTTTAAATGAGTTTAAATGAATTTAGATGTTTTACCTTGAAGATTTTATTTCGTTCTTTATCTCATTTGAAATTTCAACGTTTGAACAGCTCTTATACTTGTGGTGATCTCGCCCTGCAGAGGAAAAAAAATTATTAAATTAAAAAAATGTTTTTTCTGATTATTTGAAATTATCAATCGAAAATATGGTATAAATAGAGGAAATTCACTTCAAAATTCATATTGGAATTGAAAAAAATAAAAATCGCATTAAATCTAATCAATTTTGATTAAATTAAATATTTAAAAAATCATATTAATATTGAAAATTACGTTTATAAATTTTCTTTTCAATTCGGTTATGCCTAATAGAGATTCGCGAACGTTTTTTGTAAGAATTATGAGTGGTTTTTTGTTCGCTTTGTTGCCCTGAAACTAGAAGTTAATATGAAAAAATAATTCTGCTATAGTGAAGTGATTGCCTGCCTGTTAATTAATAGACTAATCATAAGCATCTGTTGATGACGCACCATTTTCAATAATCTCGCCTTCTTCAACATCACAATTATCATCATTTAAGACATTGTTTTTTTTGCACGATATTATAGCAGCTCGTCGAAGAGTATTTTCATCCTCTTCCGAATCGACCATTTCACTATCAATGCCAACATCTTGCTTTTCCTCTGGTATTTGATTTTTGCACTGTTGTAACAATTCTTGCTAGAAAAAAAAACAATCATTAAGCAGCCATCTGTTGTGAATAAAGGAATAATCCATAAGAATTGGGAGCTTCATTTTCTTTTAAAATTTAAATATAAAATTGCATTGCCACTCTGGAAAAGACTCATTATTTATTGGCCGAGAACATTTATTCAGCGCATTAGAATGTGAGACCATAACGTTCTCTTAAATCAAACGTTCTAAATCAAGCCAAGTTCGGATAAAATGGAAATGAATAAATAGAAAAAATGAGCGCGATCAAGAATTCATAGATGAATTAAATTTTAAATTTTTCTACAAATCCCTAGCATTCTATGATACTCAATGTTAAAGAACAATGTTAAAATATAAAGCAATTTCCGAAAATGCTGATATTATTTGGAAGAGGAAAGGAGGAGGAAGGGAGGAAAGCGAGCACAACGTTATATACGCAACTATAACGTTTATGCGACGCACGACAGCCAATAGGTAAAAAGATTTCAATAGAATACATACCAAAAGCATCAACAGATTTATATTTCTTACATCACAATGGTTCATATACTAATATTGAGTCGTAACAATTGAAAGAAGGAAGAAAGTAATCTTTCTATGTGTTTCACAATATAATTTACCCTACAATAGTTTACTTACTCGAAATTCATTGATAATTCTATCGACTTCATTTTCGTCCTCAACGCCCGTTGATATAACGGCCACCTTATTAGAACCAATGGAATTCATTGGCCTACTGCTGAAAAAAAAAAATGCGTCCAATTCAAATCTTCCTAACAACATGCATCATTTCCAGTAAATAATAAATAATTGCTAGAATGAAACTCTTTCGTTTTCTCGCTTTAAATCACCCCATTCATCCCAAAGGATAACTGAACTGAACCATTCACCCTATTCAAATGGTTCTTTCATAGTATTTTCGATTTCTTTCTAGTTTTCTACACTAAAATAATTAAATAATGAGAAGAAAATTATCTTCGCAATTATCAATATTAACAATTTACGATACAATATGTAAAATATGTAAATATGTGAATAAAATTGGATGCATTTTATTTAAAAAAAACTTTAAAAAAACCATACGAAGAAATTTCTTCCTCATCCACAAATTCGCCATCGCCGTCACTGTCATCGCCGTCGAAAATTTCACCGTCTTCAAGCAGTTCAAACCTCTTCTGTGGCATAAGATTATAGCTAAAATAATTTTGAGAGAATTCACGAAAAAGCAAGGGAATAACGATAATGACAAGTAATTGCCGCAGAATCGCTCCCGCTTCGGAAAGTCCACGCTGGACCACTATTCCGGCACGAATAAACCTGTCTACATCGTTTTCTTTTTTTTTTTTAAGAGTCATCACCATTACTGGTTAAACTCGCTCCGCTGGCTTATCATATTGGACAAATATGCCAGGGAATCACTTGGCGATAAAAGTACAGGTGAGTCGCCAGTATCACCCGGAGCCTATCTGCATGGGCGATGCTAATGGCTCTCTTCCACTTTATCGCCGAATTGTTCGCCAGCAAAATTCGTCTCACTTGCCAGCTGAGTGAATGCAATCCGAAGATTTTATTCTAATTTCTTTTTTGATTCTTATTGAGCTCGTGAAGCATAATTAAACGTAATAACTGATAACAACTGATAATAACTGATAACTGATAATTAAAAGAATCGCATCATTTTTCTTAGTAAATAATTCCTATTTCCTTGTTTAACACTTACTGCGAAATCACCTAACAACTAATTGAAGTAATTTCCCCACTTCGAAATAAAAAATAGGCCTACGAAGCACTCCACTAGGTTTCTTATATTATAAAAACCATGACCTCGTTGCGATTCGAAAAAAAAACATGTATATCCGTAGCCGACTTTTAGTGTTTACCATATAATTTTGCCGGCATTTAGTAATCATTTGTTGGTAAATTATCGTTTTCATAAAGCCGAATCGGAATTATGTTTGGTCCATTTGGTGCATCAACGATTTTGGTTTTTATTATTTTCCCATTGATTAAGCGATTGAGCAGAGGATAGAATGGCTCAGTGGGTTGTTGCTCAATTGGGAGCGCCGATGCTGAGGTTCGATTCTCCGTAGGAGTAAACCTGTACAAAAATCCGGGTGATGCTGGCAACTCAGCTGTATTTCTACCGCCAAGGGATCCCATGGCATAATTGTCCAATGCGACAAGCCAGGTGGAGCGAGTTCAACCAGTAATGGTGAGGACTCTTGGCAGTCGCTACGGTAGTTCTTGCCGAGTTATCCTCTATGAAGCTCCACAATGATATATACCTAATGCTGCTTCGAGCTCAGTATAGCAGCCTTTAGAGACCCTCGTGCTTTTTAGTTTTTCTGGTAGATTTACTTTTTTTAAGAATTAGAAAGTCAAACTGAATTTTTTTAGGTGATTAAATTCAAGAAATACGACGAACTCTACACGAGATTATCGTTTTTCATCAACTCTAATATGGCTAACCAACCCGTCGAGGTGTGCATTTTATTTTTTTATTAATAGAATTTTATTTTTTTAATTATAAAATTTTAGATTTTAGGTTCATAAGTGATATATTTCATGCGAAATTTTCGAGGAAATATTAAGAATTATAAGAAATCCGCTCTCTAATAATGTTTAACTTTGATTTTGACAATAGAATTATTCACATTGACTTGCATTTTGTTTCCCATCTATCGAGGCATTTGCGAGGCATTTTCAATCACAATTGGGCTCAGCAATGTTTGGCCACAGACGATTTATTTGGCCATGGAAGACCTATCTACTTGAATGGAAAAAGAATGATATTTCTAAGACAGTGGTAGTCGAATGACTGCGTGTAATTATTTGTAATGTTTTTTCGATTTTCAATTTTATGCAGAAAAACTGTTGTAATAGTTTTGACAAAAGAATACCGTGCACTATAATGGAGCATCGAAGGAATGTTGAAGGATGTTAGTTGTTAAGGCCGATTTTTTCGACAACGTAAAGCAATGCCTCGAAGTTGGATTTAGGTCTAAGTGGGTTTTACTAACGGTTTAGGGGGAAATTTCGATGGTACTGAAGAAGGAGATAACTGTTTCATAAAGATATATTGATATATATAATGATTACGAAATGAACTACAAATTTTACGATTTTCATGGTAATTTATGCATTCACTCACTTTGTTTATTCTCGTTTTTCAATATTTATTTTGAAATCTTAAACGTTTTTGCAGCTTTTACTAATCGGCAGTTCTTCAAAGGAACCTTTTAGTATTAATGCTATTGATACGAGGTCTGGTACATCAGTATGGTCATATAAAGGAAATGAAATGCAAGGGGCCACTATAGGTTGGTTTTATTTCTAGCGCTTTTCTCTTTTATTTGGTGTTAGATAAAATGTTTGTATGCATTATATTTTAAATTTCAGTTATTATTTTAAGAAATGGATTCATTTTCTTCCAGGCTGTGTCGAATTATTTGGCCCCAATCAAGATATGCTTTTAATATCAGCTAAAGATAGACCAACTATTAATATGATTGCTGTGAATGCGCGAGATCGATTTCATATAAAGAGTGTATTGAATAATCCAGTGAATTTTATTAAAGCTGTTCCCGACGGAAGTGTAATTTGTGGTGTTATTGGAACGAAGATATGCACGTGGATTGTAAACTTTTATTTTTGTGCAAAAATTTCATATTTATTCAGCTATATAGAAATGTATAGAAATATCTCTAAAATTTTGTTAAATGTTTTATTCTAGTATTTTTTATTCTAGCGTCCACCACAGGAGTTGTCGCATATTTCATTACTTGCTAAACCCTATGATGGTTGGCGTCAAAAGCGAGGAGGGCCAGTCAAGACCTGGACTGATACAATCAGGAAAGATTTTGAACGTATAGGGGGACCAGCGATATATGGACTTAGATGGTGGAAAAAAAATGGCTGCTGTTACTATTAGCGATGGCATTGGATCATCTTGGAGATGTCTTATCCTTAGCCAGAGAAGCCAGTCTAACTAGCAATGAGAGCTGTTAGAAGAAGATTCTAGTACAAACTATTCATCTTTCATTTGACGAACTTCATTGATTATTAGGATGAACCTTTTAGTAAAAGTAAAGAAAGAATCTATTTAAGTAAATAAAAAAAAGGCGGTGAATTTTGAAAGAAATCTGAGCACAATCAATACCGGTGATATATATATATTGTATATATAAGGCAATCTGTAGAAAGTGACACTCATTTTTTGGAGCTTTCTTCCGAGAGGGCAAAGCATGAAGAATCGAAGCATGAAGAATCCAGACGAATGGAACCATAGGTTTTTCCTATTTCAGGTGTATATCACTTGAGAATAACATTACTTTGAGCCATTCTAAATCTATGCCCATACGGTTTATAAATTTCATTTTTTATCAGTCAAAAAATAAGTAATAATAGTAATAAAAATAATAGTAATAATAGTAATAGTAATAAAAGTAGTAATAAAAATAATACCTTATTCATTTCCAATATTTTGTTCTGTTGACATCATTGTTTTCTGCAAATTAGGAGTATTATTTATCCAGATTCGGAATCACTTTGTTTTTTCCGTTAAGGAATGAAAAGATCAAATGAAAACTTATTAATAATATTAGAAATGAATGAGGTGTAAAAATAAATAATATAATTTAATATAAATAAATATAAATATAATAAATATAAATAAATATAAATATAAGTAATAAATATAAATAAATATAAATATAAATATAATATAATATAATATAATATAATATAAATATAATATAAATATAATACAGGATAATATAACATAAATATAATTAGTATAATGTAATATAATAGATAATAATTTCATGAATGGCAGTTATTTACATTTTTTCTAAAACAGTATACAGACAGTACTGAGAAAATAATCCTAACTAATTTATTCCAATAGTTGATATTCCAATAGTACATATAAAGAAATCATCAAATGCTTTCTAGAAACCCACTTGTGCTTTTACTGTCGAGTTTCTTTCTATCTACTGAGAAGAGTAGCATATTTTTAAATAGCTTACGCTCTATTCTGGCATAGAATCCGACATTACATCGATAAGAATGCAGAGTGATTATGGAAATAATAGTAAAAGTAAAAATATGTAAATTCTGTAGATGAATGAAAGAAGCTGGCTATAATTTTCATTTTCTTATATGGAAATAAATATAAATGATTTAATTAGGCTTCCACTGGGGAACTTGTTTCCACTATCGAAGGATATCATCGTAAAATCACGTGCATTTGCTTAAATTCTGATGGATCAATGTTGTTTTGTGGTGCGGAAGATGGTTGTATCAACGCTTTTTATATTGCTGAGTAAGTTTTGCCGGATATTCATTTGCTTTTTTCAAGTTTTGATATTTGGCAAATTATAATTATTGAAATTTTAAGCCTTTTGTCGTCGAACGTGAAAATTTTCGAACAAATTACGCCATGTTATAAATGGAAAGATGTACACTCGCTGGCTGTGAAAACAATTTGTGTAACGAAAAATTCAAATACTCGCATTTTGTCGTGTTCTCTTGATCATACCGTTGCTCTTTATTCATTAAATATGGGAGGATGTATTTTAAAAGTTAGTTAATTTTTTTCTTTCCTTATTCAGCTCGAGCCTTAAGTCTTCTATCTAACTGTTGTTCTAATAGCACGTGCCATTTCTTGTTTAGTCGGTTTCTGAATTCATTTTGCTGGAAAAATAATCGAGGATAGAAGAATTGATATGTCCTCAATAGTTATTAGGAATCATCGAACTCTTGCTGCTTGCAATCAGTATAATGCAATCGAAAACTTAAGAGCGTTATAATTTTTGCTTAGTTTATGGTATTCATTTTTTATTTTATAAGTTTCAGAATCGTTCTTGTTTATTCTGTGATATCACTTTTCATTTTTTTATTGTGGTTTCTTTCTATAGCATTATTGGATCGGATGAGTCTGCTAGCTAAAGGAGTGAAGCTTCTGCATCTTATCTACAGATGGCTTCTTTTTCCATCGCCTGAACCCATGTATTATTTAGACCATTTATGCCTTCAAAATGTATCTTAACCGTATCATTCTTATGAATGTCTTAATTGGTTCTTTGGTCAATTGTCGCAGAATTTAGCGAATAATCATGCTTCAATTTCTATGGCGGAGATGGTCTAGCCACCATTACTCATATTTTAAATGTAGATGTTGCTCGAATGAAAGTGGAATCTGAGATTTTTTGCACCCGGTAGTTGCTTAACGCGTGCCTTAGGCATGAGTTATCGAAATTAAATCTTTTTATCTTGCGATCTTATTAAGATTTTTTGCAGCCAGATAAGCACTAAAACCAGATAGAACCGGATTTTCGTTTTGATTTCGCGTTTTGATTTTGCAGATTTTGCGGCGATTCCATAGATATTTCATTACCCATTTGGTATAAGAGTGGACCAAAGATTCTGACATTTGCATCAATCGAGAATGAATAGATATTTAAGACGAAAGAAATTTCATCTTGCATTAATACGGCGAAGAAAGATCGAGAGGATAGTGGCTAAGATAAGAGGCAAAAGCTAGACTTCTTTTTCAGGAGTAAATGTATTTTGAAAAAATCCGAGTAATGATTACTTGAGAACTTTTAGTGCCAATATGACTCTAGCAAAAATTTCTAGTTAACCAACAGAGTTAAATAACCACTTAAATTAATTTGAAACTCTCGTTTTGCTAAGCTATTGGTCTCTTGTAATTTATCTTGAATGATAGCACTAAAAAGATTATAGCGTTCGAAAATGTTCAAGATTTATAATATCATGATCTCTCTTGATTTCCATATCTCTTGAATGTTTGCAAGCGATATCAACAATCCAGTCCAGTTGAATATATGGGAAAGGATGTATAGTCCTGGATCATAAATCAGTAATTTTATTTCATATAACTCTGTCATAAAAATTTATTATTTGTACCAGTGCCCATCGGAGCGAGCTTAACCAAAAATGGATCGTGACATTCATTGATACCATTGTAATAATTCTTAAAATTTTGGAGAAGTTTTGATTTTGGATTTTCCTTTGCTATTTGTGATTTGTGATTCATATGTGATTTTTGTAATCTCATATATTGTAAGATCTTATATTGTAAGACTTTTGCAGATATCTGGTGATCGCCCATTCACTTGTTGTTTAATAAATCCTTCAGAGAGTAGCATTTTTCTTGGCACCGACAGAGGTGATGTCCTACAAGTCGATTTATATTCTCTGGTATAATTTTGCAAAAATCCATTTCTAATACTATTTCTTATCAAAAATGTATTGCAAACCTTCCCTACTATATTTATTTTTATTTTTGATATTTTACTACTATATTTTTGATTTTTTTTTTCTTGTTTTTATTCCTTATTGATTCTTTATTTAGAAAGACAAAGATAGATGCATTATCGTAACGGGTGAAAAAAGCAATTTTCCCATTTTTCGAGGTCATAAATCTGAAATACAGCAATTTGATATTAATTTTGATGGTTCTTTGTTATCTTCTGGTGATGTTTTGGGTTATTATTTTATATGGGATATCAGAAGTACTCAAAATTTAAAAAATGGACTTGCGAAAGGTAAATTTTCAAATTTCTAATTTCCAAAATAATTTTGTAGCGGACGAAGTTATATTTTCATTATGAAAAAATCTTTCTCAATTTTTTGCCTATTGTTAAAATTTACGGGTTAATTAATTAATTTTAGTAAATTTTATTTTGATTATTCGATCTTTGATTTAATTTAAATCATTATTTATTTTGAAAAATTATTTAGACAATTTCATAGTTTATTGTTTACATTAATTATAGAATCGATTTTAGTCTTTTATCAAAATTTTTTTGCTTTTTTCCTTCTTTATTTCCTCTAAAAATTGTCATTCAGGTAGTATATGCAAATTGTTATTCATATTGAATCGTCCATGTTTTTATGATACCGAATATATGAAAATTAAAAGGCCTATTGTTTGCTTAGAAAAACAAAAGTCGAGTAATGAAGGCATATCGAGAATTCCATTAACAATTAGAAAGCCATATACACTCGCCGATGAAGTAAATTCTTTGATCGCTGAAAATAATGAAAGCAGTAATCAGAAAGCAGACCTTTTTTGAGTTTCTTTTTTCTTAAAAAAATTAATTAGCGATTAATTAAATGAATTCACATTGAAATGTAGTTTTGATTATCGCACTTTTTTAATGTCCGATTTTTTCTCCATTTTATCAATTTATTATTGTTGAAATTTTTCTAATAGTGTAATTTTAGGATTTTGCAGCAAAAAGTTTGGATAAATTAATAAAAAAACTAATTTTAATTTGTGTAAGTTTGTTTGTTTTTGTTTTTGCTTCTATTTTCATTCGCTAATTAAATTAATTGTCTATTGAATGCTCAAATTTGTCACTAATATTCTTTGTGTTATATTCTTTTCATTATTAGTCAATAATGAGTTATAAATAATGAATAATGAAACTAGAACTATAATTATATAAACTATAATTGTTTATGAAATGAACTATGAATTAGTTTCTTTCAATTAATTTATTATTTTTGGCCGCATAGCGATGCATATTTCGGATTTGCTCAGCTCAGCTCTAATTGCTATTGAAATAAAGCATTTCTTTCTCATTTGTATTGCTTCGTTTATATTTCTTATAATAGATTCGACATTAAATTTTGGATTATTTCCAGGGTAATCAATCGCAGTTGGATAGAAATAAGAAGAGGAAATTAGAAATGATAGTTTCGGATAGCTTAAATAATGGCGATGAATTAGATAGAATGGAGAAGAATACGACAGAATTAAATCAAACTAATGAACAATTAAAAAGCGAGATAAATTCGTTGAAAAAAATTAATCAAGATATGTATACTTTTCTTGCATCTTATATACTTAATAAAAAATAATTTCTTTATTTGTTGTTTTTTTTTTTTAATAATTAAATTAATAATTCGAAAAATACTGAAATTTATAACTGTTAAAAGAATGAAAATCAAATTTCAAACCATAAAGATAGTTTATCTCTGTAAATTAGAATTAGAATTATTGAGTGAAACCTTTCTTCAATTCTCTATTTAGTGTTGAATGATTGATAGGCGAAATTGGTCGATCATCAAGGATTTTAATGTTTCTTAGTTTCGAATGCGTGAATGAAAGGCTTATTGCGGGTTATTATGTTATTCTATTGGTTTTCAAGCGGTGCAATATATCGGTTTGGCTTGCTTTATTAGTTGCTAAGATAAGAGGTTTTCAAGCTTTTCGCTATCGTTCTTGTAGTTAAAAATGATTGTTTTCTTTTTGGTTAGAAATATATACTTTAATATACTTTATCTTGAAAATGATTTGAAATGCATGAAGATTGCATGAAATATTCATCAAATGAGAGATCGAAAATTAGAAAGGTCAAAGGGCGCACCTATGAAATTCTCTGATTAAAAAGAAATTATCAGCTGAAATTTTAGTTGTGCTCTTCTCGCCGAATTAGAAGTACACGTGGTTTGGAAGAGCTAAAGCCGACCACGTCGTTCAGATTTCTGTTCGTTTTACACTAGCATTCATTTTTCTGTTTGGCTACAATTCGTTTAAATGGACAGATCTGACGCGATCAACGAGAGATAGTAGTTTCACATTTCACAACGCTTCAGAATCCATTTTTGCTCGGTTATCCGCAATGCTTTTCACTATTAACTCGTCCAATCCAAAACACCGACCGTTCGAGGCAGTAAAGCACATATTTTATTGCGAAAATACGAACTGAGAGATAATTAATAGACAATTTAAAATTAAAATTTTATTATTGCAAATTCACAACATTTTCATATAATTATAAGAGATCCTCCTTATAATTCATTTGTGTAGCAAATAAAATTGGCTTAAGAGCAATTAACAAGCATTGGCTCTGCCGAGACACTCCTCCTCGACATCCTCTAAGCCCTTTCCAATTACTACAGTTTTTCAGACTTTTGCCCACTTTTGATGATATTATTATTTATATTAAGATTTACATTTTACAAGTGAGATCCAATTTTCTCCACTAAAATTCCGCAATAACAAATCATAATTTTTTACAAAATTATATTAAATTCGAGATGACCTAAAGCTTGTTATTGCATACAAATTGAATTCCATCGAAAATTTAGGTTCAGAAATCAGCTGAAATCCTAAATACAAATCTCATCTAACATTATCCAACACATATACATATATCTCATCGAGTTTTCATTTAGAAAAAAATATACATTCACAGGAACAAATAAAAAAAAAAAAGAAAAAAACGAATGAAAGCTTAATTCATTAAAAGAACGAAAAAGTAGAAAAAATATTGAGGACCTCAAAGTTAGTCTGAAAAAAAAATCATTTATGATTATTTTATCAGAAAAAATTCAATTGGTTAATGTTTTTTATAAGCTGCAAGCTCCTTTTCGTACCGTTTTTTGTCCTCCGATGCTTTCTTTTCCCATTTCTACAAAATAGTTTAAATGAAAAGAGAAGAATTATATAGAGAAGAATATATAGCATTATAGACGTCAACTGAGCATCCTTTTTAATGAAAATTTTGCTTTAGCCAAGAGAAACAAATTAAACTAACGCTGTTCATCAGCAAGAATATTAAACTAATTTTGCTCTAAAAGCAAAAAATTGAGAAACAAAAATTTCGTAAACTTTTGCATGCAGAATGTATCGAACGTAAGGAAAGATGAAGAGAACATACGCTTTTATCAGCCAATTGTGCCCATTCAAGTCCAGCTGCTTTAGCGACATCAGCAACACCCATTCCAGGTTTCTTTAAGCGTTCACGATTTTCTTGCATCCAAAAAAAGAAAGCTGACATCGCGCGTTTCGGAGCGTTCGGATCTTTAGCTTTCTTCACTCCCGTACGACTTTTTGATGCTTGTTTTGTTTTCGGCATTTATAATATTCTTTTTTTTCTGGAAAGAAAGTCGCAAATTAAAATAAATAAGATTAATTTTTGAAACAAATTTCACGAATTTTTATGTATTCTCGCGAAAATACCTAAAAAGTACCTAAAATTTAAAAAAAACGCAGAATAAAACTTTATCACTTTGTCTTATCAAATCAACTTTATCAGAAATTTATTCCCTATTATTTTTTTCCTCATCTTCCCTTTGCAAATTTGCTGAGACAGCTGGGGCTTTCTCAATAGAATCACTCACATCTTTCACTGTTCCTATATTTCCTAATTCTCCTTCAACTCGCCGCATTAAACTACTTTAAAATTCGATTTTCAAAAACTCCGTACGGAATGTTTTTCGGATTTTTTTCATTAAATGGAAATTCTTAACTTTTTCTTATCATTTTCTTATCACTTCTTTTTTCAAAGTGTTTTCATAAAATTCAAAAAAAAATCAATTAAAATTAAAATAAAATTTTTGTTTTTGTTTTGTTTAAAATTTCATATAAAAACCCATAAATCAAAATAAAAATTATTGAAAAAAAATATTTCAAAAATAATAAAAATTCTATTTCAAAATATATTTTTATGAATAAAAAAATGTAAAAAAAACGAAAAAAATATTAAAAAAATCATTTGAGAAAAATACTTTACAAAATGAATTAAAGAAAATAAAAAAATTAAAAAATGAAATCGAAAAATTTATAAAGAAAAAGACGAAAAGAAACGAAAACGTTGCTTGCACGATTGTCGTTAGTATTCAGTGAGCAGCGTTTGTCTTTATTCATCGTCGGTCGTCCTTCGCCTTCTTGTTTGCCTCTCAAACAATTCAAATCAATAGTTTTATTTTACGTTTTATATTCCCGCCAAATTGACCTGATTCAGGGGAAAAAATTGCGCGCCATCGATTTTCTTTAACTGCTAATTCGCAGCTACGCGCGTATTAATCAATAGCGTACGACATGTGTGCTCGGAACGGATATGTGCAATCGGCAAAAATGCACCTCAGATTTGGATGTATGGTGCTAGGAAAATAAGGATGATTGTGATTTGGATGAAGCTGAAATCCGCCAGTTTATGTGGGAAACGAAAAAAAGCGAAGGAGCGGACTTTTTCTTGGAAAATTGGCACATAGTGCAGTGAATTAGAGAAAAATGTGCATTTAAACATCGAAACATTAGAAAAACATTTGTTTTTAGATCGAAAAACAACAAATAATCGGAGCAAATAATAAAATTTTCTAACATAAAATCTTCGTTTTCGTAGTTCCCTAATAATTTGCGAATAATTTCGCAATGTTCGACCATTTCGTCGAATTTATTTTGTAAAATTTAAAGATTTTCTTCTTTTAGTAAATTTTTTTATTAAATATGAAATTTTAGGAAATTTAGGAAATTTTAATCGAAAAAAAAATATTAATTACCGTTGGTATTGTTCGCTACGAAACTATTTGTAACAATTTTTACGAAATTATAGAAAAAAAAATGAATAAAAATTCCATAAAATAATAATTATTAGAAAAATTTTTAGGGGTGAACAGTGCGATGTTAAATAAGAAAATATAGCTGTTATAGTAGAATTTTTTTAAAAAATGCTTCACTCATTTGCTTGTAAATCATTTATGGAACTTTGCCAATTAATTTCTAAGGAGAATAAATGAAGAGAGAAAGAGAGGAAAAATGAGGGGAGGGGGAAGCTTAAACCAGAAGTGGTAGGGGTGGGGGTGGAAGGGAGGGGGTGAACATTAGTTGATATGCGGCTGATGAATATGGAGAGAGTGGGGATGCTTGAGGTGAATTGCGAAGATAGGTGATGGGGAGATGTTGAAGAATTGAAGGTGGAATCGCTGAGTGATGGTTGCGATGGTCGCATGGTGGTGCCTTATGCGTCGACTACATTTTTCCTATATCTCCTCAGCACTTATGAGACAAGGAGATTTTTATATCATCCGAAGGTATATCGGTCGGTCGTTTGTTAATTTTTTGCAAATTCCTGGATTTCCGACTGTAATTTTTTATTGCATAATCCTATAATACATTCTATTCGAGTAAATAAATTAATGAGTTGTGTCAAACTGTCGAAGATAAAAGGTTTGACCCCAAGGCAATTATTGGTTATCTGCTACTTGTTGATTAGCGTTTGGTTAGCTTTGCTCATCTCTCATCTGTATTTTTACCACAATTTGCTATTTATGTTATTTGTCATCTTATAAATTTAATGAAATTTGAAAAAATCTCCGTATGGCCAGAAGAAAAACATTTGACCTTTCAATTTATTTTTCTTTTCATGTGTACTGTTTTTAATGAGTTAGAAAAGTGTTAAGAGTAGCCACTTGTGTCATAAACTTGTTCTTTTAATAATGTGCTCCGTTTTTCTGGTTCGTAGATCGTTTCCTACGAATTCGATGCCATATGTGAAGTTAATTGTTCCTTTCCTCACCATGTAAGCACTGGAACATTGTTATGTTTTATGAATATCGGTTTTCTAGCGAATGCAAATATTAGATTTTATCTGGCGGCAGTTTTATAAGATCTTTCTGCAAAAATGGTTGAAAGCAATGGTTGTTTCCTGTTCATGCTGCCATTATCTCAGCGATATAATAAGAGTTTGCGTACTACTAGGTAAATGCGGATATTCGTTTTGATTTTGCAGAGGATGTATAGGTTGCATAATTAATTGTATTCCTTCTATTTCTGGTTATTCAGTTTGATATTTCTTCGCTTGGCCATTGGTTCTGGGAGAGGGAACAAAGGTAAAACTAAAATAATAGGTAAAAAAAGATTGGTGATGCTTATTAGTATTCGGGTTAGAATCTGCTGGTAGATAGAACAGTGAGAGATCTTTGGCAAGAATTCATTTTTATAGAATAGAATACTTTTTAAATACTGTTTTGTTAACCGTCCGGGTTTTTTAATGATAGATTTAGGTAGCAAAAGTCGAATCTTCTCAACAAGATAATCTGAGCCATTGGCCGAAAAATTTAAAATTTTTTCGGATCTTGAGCCGTTTTATTTCTGTTTCGCTGTTATTTTTTTACTCTTTTATCGGAATATTTCGGAATACATTTAGAATTTCTATAAACAATGAGCTTTTTTTTCTAAATTTAAAAAACAAAAAATTGAAATCAAATATGTAAGAATTTATAATATTATAAAGTATTATAATATTATGTCTTTGATAAACCTGTCATGCAAAAATCTGGGTGGTTGCTAGGAACTCATCTGTAACTCTATCCTCAAGACTCTATGGTGAAAGCTCAGATATTCTTGATACGGCGTCCGCATTTTGCGAAGTGTCATGATGATACTCGCAGCTCCGTAGTACATGCGATATGTATACAATCCGAGCGTAAAGTGGTTCCAAGGCTGGTAAATAAAATGTGCTCGCAAGCCAGAGTAATTACTGGAAATCTATCAAGGGGAACAGCTCTCAGTAAGCGTGGCGAGGTTTTAGCCGTATCAGCGTGGAACGTCAGAACGCTTATGGGCGTTGCAAGCCAAGCGATCACTGTCCACACATTTTCTTAATATCGTGTGGATATCGATTGTCGGAGGTCCGTCTTCCTTATTGCTGGTCTTGAGTGATTATTAATCCTGGATCGGAGCAGAGGTACTGGCTATAGACTGTTTAACTCAATGCTTCGGATAACTCGAGGCGAAATGGCGTAGCGATTGTCATGTCTGACAAACCCCATTCCGTTTTGTTTGAATGGAAACCGGTAAGAGACCGTATGGCCTATGCCCATTTTAAGGGTAAGTTCTGCAATATCTCGGTCATCAGTACCTATACTCCAACTTTGTCGGCAGATGAATGTAATAAAGATGAGTTTTATGCGGAATTTCAACTGCTAACAAAGTCTCTACCTAAAAATGACATGGTCATAATAGTGGGAGATTGGAATGCGTGCATAATTTTTAATGCCATTGCGATGACCTCGAAAATTGGCAAATATGACATTGAAGGCCGCTGCACCAATGGGGAACGCCTTCTTCGTTATGCCGAAGAACATGAACTTTTTGTTACTAATATTTGCTTCCGGCATCGTAGAAAACATCTAGTCACGTGGAACTCCTCGGACAACCAACATTTCAACCAGATTAATTAAATTTTAGTCAATCGTCGTTGGAAGAGTTTCTCTACCAGATAGTCGTTCCTATCGCGGCACCAATAATCTGGCAATCTTCATGGATCTGGCTATGTCATAGTTCGAGCCATGATCCGCATAAAATTAACAATTAGCAAAAAAAATAGCATTTCCCATGATTTTTCAACTATTTCAAACTGACAAATTTGGGGACATTGAGTGCATTTCAACCGAATTATTGAAGAATCAATGCTATGAATATCAATGATTTTTATGGAACGGCAAATGAATACTGGTCCGAATTAAAGAATCAAAGTCAGTCGCTTCCCACGCTATGGCATATTAATAGGAATTGCGCTAGTTGGAGTATCGGAAGCACTTGTCCAACTATCTAAAAAAGGGGTTAACGCCCGAATTTCAGGAGATCATCCTGACTATCACGTGCTTTGAAGAATTACAACAAAACGGCACGACAGAAATCACTGTTGGAGTGATATGGCCTTGAGAATGGATACGACGGCTCGATTAGGCGATAATAGGAAACTGTTCCACTTTCATAAATAAAGCAACTATAACTCGTGGAACGGTCAGTGAAATGGTAAAAAACAGCAATGGTGTCGGTCAAGAGCATTAAGAACTGCCTCATAAGATGGATAGAATTCTTTAAGGTAAAACTTAACCAAGAAGCGCCATCTCTTGCCCCCGATATATCTGATATGTCCCTCGAACCATATGTTTGCAACTGCGAGTTTCCAACAAAAGAAGAAACGATCTCCGTTGTCCATAAGCTTAAAGCCAATAAGACTTCGGGAGAAGATGGTCTTTGGGTTGAAATCTTCAAATATTGTCCATCGTCATTCATAACGCACATTCAACAAATGTATATATACTCTAGTATGGAAAAATGAAATATTACCAGATGATTGGAGCAAAGTAAACACAATTCTCAAGAAAGATGATAGGATGTACTGCGATAATTATCGAGGAATCAGCCTCCTAGACGTTTCAGCGAAATTTTTTGTTTCCCTTTCATTCAGTAGACTTATGGGAAGTCAGGACAGCAGGATGCGCTCTTTTAAAGTTGGATTGTGAGAGACGTGGTTGACCAAATATTCATATTAAGAAGCATGTTGGAACATCGCTTCAAATATTTGCAACCCACTGTCACATGTTTCATGCCTTTGCGACCGTCTTCGATTCAATTGGTAGAGCGGCGCATTGATCACCCGCAAAGATTTTTTATAAATATTATCACTGTTCGAAATCTGACTGTAACCAGAACATGACCTGGTCTCGTGAAGAATGTCGATTTACGCACTGTTATACGAGTTATGTTTTGATACTAAATTCTTCCAGAAGTGAACGTAGAATACTTAGATTTTTAGATTTTTTCAAAAAAATATAAAATTTCTTAGCTAAGTTCAGCTGTATCTGCTGAGTTCAGTGTGACTTTACCCTCTTGCTTACTGAAAGTATTTATCGGTGACGAGAATCCATGCTGAGCAAAGAAGCATTCACTGGCATATGGAATTGTTTTTCGTTTTTCATTTCTGTTTTTCGACGAAAGTTTAATATATTACGTCTGCATCGTTTTCTTGATTTTGTTGTTTCAAGCTAAATTCAATGATCGGAATTATGCCTTTGAGGGTGGATCAAACCATTCGGTCAATTTAAGATTCGACAATCGCGTTTTCATTTATGATTAGCCAATAGTTCCCATTGATATAAAGTATAATTTCTGGTGTATAGAATTAGTGTGCCGGACTTCATACAGAAAGTTAATGCAGTATTTGGATAGGTATGAACGATTATTGCCTTTCAATATTTATCCTTTTCTACTTCAAATACTGTTTCTGTTTTCTACAGTTTCTGTGGCATATGGGTAATAAATTGACGTTATTTCGACGTATTCAGATTTGTTCTTCGGAAATTTAGATCATTAAATTTGTTAAAGTACTCAGTTATTTCAGCTGTACAGAATAAATTTGTTCATATTCTTTTAAACAATGTTTTATTTATGTAAAATGTCACGAGATTTTATTATTTAAAAGTGAGAAAAGATCGAATGAAAAAATAAAGAATAATAGGGAATTTGTGTGATGCCATCTAAGAATTTCTCCACAGTGATTTTCATTTGCTAATAAGAAAACAATAGAATTGTGGGAAAGGACGGAGGTAACAAAATGGAATGACGAATTTGTCGTTGGGTAAATTAGAGATTCGCAATGAGAGAGATTGTCTGATCACAAAAGAACAAGGCATTCATTTATTTTTTTTAGAAGAATAACAAATTGATAAACATTGGGAACATTATTGAGCAAATTTTGGGAAATAACTATAGGACATAGTATATATAAAAGGACAAGGAAAGATGAGGAGAAATGAAGGAAATGAGGGAGAAATTAAAAAAGGAGTAAATGAATGATTCATTATTGATATTGATATTTATTTTGTCCAATTAGCAAATGATTATTTAATTTTGTTTTTTTTTTTTTTCAGATATGGAATAAAGTTTTGAAACAGTGTCTGTGATGGAAGAAGCAAGCACTAGTGATTATTGGAAGGGGCATCCTAGGTTCACTTCAACTGGTACCATTGATGTCCCTGTTTTCTATCCAACAATTCATGAAATGAGAGATTTTCCCACTTTTATTGATAAAATTGAACAGATGCATCATGCACATCTTATCTGTGGAATTGTTAAGGTTCCTTTAAATTCATTTTCATATTATTTCTTTGGACTGTTCTTAATTTGATAAAAGGCGAGAAAGTTGCTAATCTTCATGCGTAGTTTTTGATTTATTTACGTGAAAGTTATTTTTCACGAAAGAATCAACTGGTAGAAAAGAGAGTTAGTATCTTATCTTTAAAATCTCTTGAATCTCCTGCTACGAAATTCAATTTTTTAAAGGTAAATTTCAGTTAGTTTGATAAGTCAGTTTGATATTAGTTTGTTAATTCCAGATTGTTCCACCTCCGGAATATCACGCTCGTAAATCTAATGATTATTCGGATGTTGATAACTACATCATTGAACAGTGTGTTATTTTCTCACTTTCTTTTTTATTTTTTAGTTCATATTAGACAGATTTAAATAATCTACAGTGGGGTCTAAAGAAATTAATAATCATAAGGTACAAAAATATGTAATGGAGTTAATTGTTGTTTTAATATTTTGTATTTTGTTATATTTTTCTAATAGAAACTATAGAATAGAAATGTTCTATTTTCTCAAAAATTTTCATTTTAGGCCTGTGAAAGAAAAAATTGAAGGAAGTGGTGGTATTTATACGAAAACAAACCGTCTTTTTCGCAAATCGATATCAGTTCGCGATTTCCGAGTACTGTGCGATAAAATGCGTTTGCCAAAAGAAGGCTTATCTCCGGAAGAAGTAGAAAAGTTTGTTAAATTTATTTTTATTAGTTATTCAAACTTTTAGATGCGGATTTTAATTTCGAGAATGTGGAGGCTATATTGGTTCGATTATGGTTATTATTACTGTTTTGTTGATTTTAATTTCTTGCGTTAATTTTTCAGATATTATTGGAAAACAATTTTGCAAGGCGAGCCAGTGTATGGTGCCGATACTCCTGGATCGATATGTGATCCTGATTTAAAAGAATTCAATATGAATCATTTGAATACTGTTCTTGATTTACTCGATAATTTTGAGGTTTTGAATGATAATTTTACTTCTGCAAATTCCATGATTGGAAATTTGGAATGAAAAAAATTAAACCTACATAAAAGGGGTAGTTCAATTTTGAAACTAATTAAAGATCTGGTGGAATTTATAGATCAAAATCAAAGGTGTAAACACAGTATACTTGTATTTCGGCATGTGGAAAACCACTTTTCCATGGCATACAGAAGATATGGATTTATATTCAATCAATTATTTGCATTATGGAGAACCTAAGGTAAATTGTTTTCAGACCCATTTTTTTAATAATTAGCTTCGAATATTTCCGAAATATTCATCGTTCATATTCATTTGTTGCTTGGCAACGTTTTTATTTTTAATTTGACTTTTTCATATATTCATTTGCAAATTCATGTGTTATTTGCAAATTCATGTGTTTTTTAAACAAGTTGAGCATTTCAGTTTTGGTACGCTATTGCTACTGAATCAAACAGTCGTTTCGAAAGACTTGCAGCGCAGACATTTCCGTCTGCTGCCAAGAATTGCAAATCGTTTCTTCGACATAAAACATTTATGATTTCACCTCATGTCTTAAAACGCTATAATATTAAATTTGGTACCATGGTTCAATATCCAAATGAATTTATTATAACATTTCCTCGAGTGAGTTTCTTTAAAAATGTTGTTTCATTGTCGTTTGTTATTTTGTTGTTTGTTTCTTTCTAAATTTCTTAAAAATATCACTGCAGATTTCTAGAGTTATATTCTATCAAAAACAATGGCATAAAATTCTTTCTTTTTAAGGGTTATCATATGGGCTTTAACATGGGTTACAATTGTGCAGAATCTACGAACTTCGCTTCTGATCGTTGGGTTGATTTTGGTAACACTTTTAACTCAGTAATTTTTTGTTGAACTGATTTTTCTGTTGCCTGAAATCATTTTCGGTTATCTTTTATTTTTGTTGGATCTTACATATTTTATAATTTACAGATTTGATTCGTTAAAACAAATAAAAAGATGGTTCGTAAATTATGTTTAGGGAAAAATGCGTTGGTTTGCACTTGTCGTGCCGATAATGTTGAAATTGATATGCGACCATCTATGAAACAGTTTCGCCCTGATGAATATAATAAAAAGATGGTTCGTAAATTGTGTTTAGGGAAAAACGCATTGGTTTGTACTTGTCGTACTGATAGTGTTGAAATTGATATGCGACCATTTATGAAACAATTTCGCCCTGATGAATATGATGGATGGTTTAAATATTGGTATGGGGAACGCATCGTTAAAGAGAAAAGTGATTCATATGTTATTATATTTTTATTTTTTTTTAACTCTTATACTTCTTTTTTGTAGCTTTTTGTACTATTGAATGAGGATTTTTAGAAAAAGTTTCTGCTTCTAAAAGGCAACCGATTCATAATGATTCTGCAGTTGAAAAAAAGAGGCGCCGCATAAACCAGATGAGTAAAGGTACTCGAGGTCCATATATCGAAATTTCTCAAGATAGCGGCTCAGATTCTAATGAAGATGGTATGTTTAATGATGTGGGATCTAAAAATGTATACATTGGTAAAAATTTTAATTATAAGCGTTTTCTTTTTGAAACCTTTACTTTCCATATTTTTTTAGAAAACACGCGATTCATGAACTCTAAATCTATGGCGGACCTGATTTCAAACGACCAGTGGAAGAAAAAGGTATATTTTTTATATAAAGGTATATATTTTTGATCACCATATTAGGCCACATATTTCATTCTAATTCCAGTTCTTAATTGAGCAATTTTGTTCATTTAAATAATGCAGGTTCGACTTCTTTGGTCAAATTTGCCAATAGATTTTAATGCTGAAAGGGAGTTTAATAATTGCCGCGCGAGCGAGTCACCCCATTGTTCTGTATGTCAATACTTTGTGCCAAAACCGCTATTAATTAAACGTGACAGAATTCCAGCAAGGTTAAATTTTAAATATTTATCATATATGATTTTATAAATGAATTTAATGTGAAGAGATTTTAATTTATGAAACGTTTTAAAAGAGTTCCCCATTCATTGCTATTTCTTGTTTGAATGGTTGCAATTTGTTTCGCCAGCGATTCCGGAGGAAATATAAGTGAGTCTCCAGTCTGTTTTTGTTGAAAAAAGGGTAGATAAAAAGGATAGAGCGAGAATGAAGTATTTTTTAATAATTTTCATCTCGATGTAAAGATTTTAACTACATTTTTAAATGTATTTTTTGTATTTTATAATTCGTCTTAAGTTTTATAGTTCTGTCCGGCTTATAAGAAGAGCTTGGTATGCAAAAGTTGATCCAGATCAATGCGATATTGATGATAACGCAATCGAAGATCGTTTATTGCGTTGTAGCAATTGTTATGTAGTTGTTCATTTCGGTTGTTATCCTGTTGGTAATGTTCCAGCAGGTAAAAAATTTTTCCCATTTTAACATTCTAGTGCGCTTTCTTAACTCTTTATTCTTAAGCATTTCAAGCATTAATATATATATATATATGTATACATTGTTTTTAGATATAAATGAATGGAAATGTGCACGATGTTGCCGACGTGATGATCTCATGATTCGTTTTGCCAGTTGTCATCTTTGTGAGCTTCGTGGAGGTGCATTAATTCCGGCTATGAATGTTCGTTAAGTTGTGCAAATTTAAAATAAAACTATATTAATATATATCAGAAAAAAATCCATCTGGGTCTTTAGAGTTCGCCAATTTTTTTCAAAATTCTTCCTATTCAATTCCTTCAATTCTTGAGCAATATTTTCTAAATTCATTGCATCAGGGTTCAGAGGAAAAACTCTTGAGTTTTTTAAAGCCATTGTATTATAGTTTAAAGAAATGAAGATATAATAGGTTTTGAGTGGACTGTAGTGAGTATGCCAAGTTTTTTTTAATTTGCCTTTTTAGTATCAATTTATAATAATTAACTGTTAATTTGTAGATATTAGCGACTGAAAATTATTTGGTATATAAGATTATCTCAAAGATTAAAATTATTTAATTATTATAAAATAATTATTTGATGAAGTGGTTTTCTCGAAAAAAGTGCAAAATCATTTCTAATAGTATAACTTTATCTGTTTCATACGAGTTTGGTGAAAATTTATTCAGTGGTTGAGTAATTATCATCTGAGGAATACTTACGATTTTATCAATTTAATTTTGTCGGATAAACAATACAACGATAGCAACAAGTAATATAAGCGAAGCGTATCCGAAAGCATTTGCGTGAGGAAGTAAATAAAATATGGTTTTCGAGATGTGGTGATTTCAATTTACGGAGCATCTAAAGTTCTTCAAAAGTTGATGGTTTTTGGGTTCCTTGGACGAAGCTAGTCCGAAACAAACAAACAGATGCAGTAAATCAGAAATTGTGATAACTGGCGAATAATATTCTTCAAGTTTATTATCTTTAAGCCATTAGTCAGTCAAATAAAGCAGGTGTTTGGGTTACATATTAGCTTCGAACATATTTCAACAACCATCGATTTGTGCTTTTTATTAAATAAGGAAAGGATTCATTTTTGGACAAAATTGGCGCTTAAAAGTAAGCACTAAAAGTCATAAGCCAATGGTTTTTAGCGGTAGGAATACTAGCACCAATCGCTATTAGAAAAGATTCCTTGAACATATCAGTTTTCAGTTCAGTGCACTACTGCTTCAGAAAATAGAATCCAGAAAACTACAGCTAGGAAATTTTGACTCATTTATCTGATTAGCTTTGGCCTTATTTCTTTTGTAATTATTTCAATTCTCATTTCTCATTTAGCTGGGAAAAAATTTTGAGTTTGTAAAAAATAAGCTTGTTAATAAGAATAGTTCCTTGATGGAAAGGACCTGGTGTATTGTTCTAATGTTCTTTGGGTTTTAAAATTTTTTAAAAACATTTTTGGGATAACCTAATACAACTACAATCTTTTGTTTTCTTCATTAGTTAAATTTGAATTTGTTTGAGAACTCTGTGGTTTTGTAAAAAATTTTGATTTACATTTTCAGTATAGAAAGTAAATACTGGTTTTTGATTGCACAAATGCGGTATGAACCCAGGTCATTATTATTCAGCATCTTATTTTAAATTTTAAGAAATTCAAATGTCTTTTTTTGTAAAATTTAGAGCAGTGGCGATTTTGTTCATGTTATATGCGCATTATTAAACCGACGAACGATATTTGTCGATCCTATTCGATTGGATTTGGCTTATACAAGGCCTTTTAAGAAACTCAGGGCTTCTGTTTTATTTGAAAATCGACCTAGTGCCGAATATTTAAATGCATCAGATTTAAATTCCGACCTAGGGAAATTTGAATGCGAATACTGCTTAAATTCAAGGGAAGGTATGGTCGTTTATGCTGTAAATAATTTCATTGTAATTGAATAGGTTAGATTTCTCTCCAAAACTTTTTGACTGAAATTCTTTTTAGTTATGTTTTTGGTATTATGCAGTAGATTATTATTTTTAAAATTTTCATTTAGTTTTCCATTTTCATTTTTTTCTATATTTAGGTTTGCTTAAATGTGTCCTTTGTGATGATGTGTTGTTTCACGCAACCTGTGGGCGTTTGGCTGGTGTTTCCTATGAATTCCGTAATTGGCCAGACTTGACTGTTGCAGTGTGTCCTGATCACAATGAAGGTAAAATTCTTTATGTATTAATATTATTCGATCAATGAGCGTTATTCAGCTTTCCAGACCGGAATATTGAAAATTTACTTCAGTTTTTAATCTTATCTTTTTTTATATTTTTTTATGGTTTTTATATGTTTTTTTAATTTTAGTGGTGGATAATGCACCACCTTTGATTGTTGGGGATAAAGTAAGAGTTGCTGTTGATGGGTCTCGCAAGATGGTTAAAGGAATGGTGTTGAATATTGAGTACCATGATTGCTGTACGATTAGTTTTATGGATCGCAATTGGAGTGATGACGTAATACCGTCAGATATAGTTGAATGTGAATGTGATCGCATAGGCTGTGGAGGATTTCACGTTCCAGGTGCAAAGGTACTAATTTTTAAGAAATTTCTAAAAGAAACCATAAGTATACAATAATATGGTGGTATGGAAATATAGTAAGTTCATTTCTTGTTTCTTATGTAATGAGTAATGGTGAAAGATACAGAATGACTGAAGGAAATTGAAGGATTGGTTAAAGAATTTGATTAGGTAAGGGTTTTGATTTTTGTCTCCCCACATCTGTCATTTAAAACAATAAAATCATTTATTTGGGTACCATATAGAATCTCAGTATTAGCGGATTAGTGAAAAATGAAAAAAATGGGAAAAACCAAATGTCAATGGTCTATTTTTTTTATTAAATATTTGCAGATAAGATTGAAGTGGGATGATGGGCTGATATATGATGGAGTTTTTCGTAACAGGTATAAACGTGCAACTTATATAATACAGTTAGCAGCAAATTTTTCGAAGTTGCCTAAGATTATAAAAGTTGGGCGTGATGCCATATTCGCTCGTGGCGAAAAGCCTGTAAATTTAGATGGTACTTGATTGTTTTTCCTAGCTCCATAGCTAAAGAAATTAAAAAATTCCTTTCCATCAGTTTTTGTTAGCAGCTAATTTGTATGTTGTATTTTAGTGATCTTTTTATTTATTTATTTGCATATTTTGAATTGTGGTCATCTCAATTAGCAGTTTTCGTTCTTTTTTTTTAATTTACATTTATATTCAAAAAAAAAGCCAGCAGATAGATATCCAATCAATATTAATTAAGACTTTTTTTTCCATTCTGTTAGTTTATTTAAATCATTGGTTTTTTCATTCTGTTAATTTATTTAAATAATTGAGCTTTCGAGCATGTTCATAGTGCAGATGCAATATTGATGGTCGCCTTCGGCTGTAACTGAGGCAGTCTAATGTCGCTTTTTCTAGATGTATTTTTAAAATTCTTTCTTGAATAAGACAGCTGGAAATGAGCTTTGGTTTTTATTTAGATCTATTCCTACACTTTTGATTCTTTTAATTTTCAATGTATATGTTTAGGTTCGAGTTTCTTGGAGCTTTATAATTTTTTTTCCACTTAATTGTACATTATGGGTATCTTTTTTATTCATGATATTATTCAGTGAATTTTGTTTATACTTTTTAAATAGTAAGCGGCTAAGGATTTTTTACATCATTCATTTACTGTATTCATTTTTTCGTGTGCTTAACTAGTTTTCTGCTGGAATTAAATTAGTTATTAGGGTTATGTTGATTTTTTAACGTTGATTTTTTTCGCGCAAATGTTTTTGAGTGTGAAGCATTCATAAGGTTTTTGCTTGATTTTCATCAGTGTATTACAGCTCTTTAAATAATTTTTCGACCAGGACATTGTCATGATAACCCCATCGTCATTTAATTGTATTTTTTTGATAAAATTAAAAATATTTGTTTGTCAGTCAAGGTTAATCAGGGTTCTTGATTCTGTGCATGAAACTGATTCCATTTTTCATTTTCCTTTCCTTATCACAACAGTCTGTCCTTGACATATTGGTCCAGGTTTTGGTCTGGTCCTAGTCTTCGCTTTTGCCGTTTTCAGCAGTGAGGGCAATATATAGTATATAGTATGCATCATTTCTTGAGGATTTGATGGCGAATATAACTTAGCCAAAGAAGGCTTAATGATGCCATCAATGCACGTGGTTTTGTGTTGGAAGTTACAACCCTACTTGATTTCATCCTCATATATTGCACTTCGGGAGGAAAGAAAATTCCAGTTGTAGATTCTCTCTTTGAGGAGGAACTGCATCTTTTATTGGGCTTTTATTGGTCGAATATGAGATTGGACAAGAGAATTTAAAATCTTTTAAAAATAGAAATTTCTGATATATAGAAAGCGGGTTTGCACAGTTTGCTTTGAATTTCTATTATTCGCAACTTTTAGGGGGAAGAAGGACAGCATTTCATCCAGCATTTTAGAGATGCGTGTTGTTCCTTTAAATGGTGACAACTTTTTGTCCACAACTATGTTTATCACATAATCGGAAAGGAGAGTGGATAAAAAACTAGGATATTGGCTGATAGCAGTTCGTTTTTCGAAAGGTTTATTGTCCCAAATGAGACGTGAAGAAGCGTCGTTGCATAGATACGAAATGTATTTGAAAAATTGAATAATTTTTAGGAATGAATTTTTTATTCAATTTTTTAGAAATTCATTGCAAATTATCATTGCACAAAAATCAATAGTTATTATTATTATTATTTTTGCACCATTATTTTTGGATTTTTTTTAAATTCAAATTTTTATTTAGAATTATATTTATAATACAATCGGTCGAATGGTTGGTTCATTTTTAGGGGCATCAATGTTCAATCTTCCAATCTTTGCGCCAATTAAGCCTTTGCGTTTCAAAAATTCGTGCGATAATATTGAATATAGCACGTTTACACTCTCTGGCAAAATCTCTTTGGTTCGACAATTTAGTGGAGCGTGAAAAAAATTCATATAAATTTAAATTTATTTATTAAATTATTATTATTATTTATTAAATTTATTTATTAAATTCATATAAAGCAGAAAATTAATGGACGTTTAGAAAAAATGATAAATTAATGATAAAGAAAATGAAGTAATTTTAATTTTTAATTTTTTTGCTTTATTTTGTTTCGTTTTTTATTGTAAAAATTTATTTTCATATTTTTATTTCATTACATTTGTTTACGTTCCTATATTCCTCACAACTGTTTTCTTAATTTTCTTAATTTTTTTTTTTGAGAAAATATTGACATTAATTAATAATAAAAAAGTTATAAAGAAAAATTTCTCGACTAATCAAATATTTATTTGCCTAAAAGGAACTCATCATTTCGGTTAATTAGGCCACTTTCGTTTTGCTGGCTTGTCGAGCTTCAAAATTTTACAAGGGTGGCAATCGTTTAACGATAGAAGAACAGGTGAATCGCATGTATCGTATCAGCCGCAAATATGATATTTCATACCAGCATAATTTTTAATTATTTAGACAAATTCTTTAATGAATACATGATTTATTATATACGTTTTATTCATTTGATCGAATTTGTCTATAAATTTAATTTTGTAATATATTATTTTAATATTGAATTTTGATAAAAATTATGATAATCTCTGAATAATCACTGAATATCTTTTAAATTTCTATTTTTTTAATATTTTTTATTTTTATAATTTATATATGTATTTTTGTTTTTATAATTTATATATATATATATGAACATTTTCTAATATAAATTAAAAATTAATAAAAGATTATAGTTTGGTTTTGGTTTGTTTTTTTTTTCTGATAAGCAGATAATTTATATAATTTGTTATTAACGGCAATTTTTAAAAAATTTTAGGAATAGTTTGAAGAGTTTGGCAAATAAATATCTAATTGACTGCTGTACGCTGTTTCAATAACCGAATTATAAACTAAATACTTTTGGAAATTTTTATATAGAATCGATAAGTAATAATATGATAAGAATTCAAGAATGTTGGTTGAATGAATTTTTTTGATTTAGCAGAGAGATTTTTTCTGGATAAAAATAGGTCCTAGTTGCTATCTGTGGCATTTCATTCCCATTAAGGGATGAAAATCGAATCCGTCATATTTGTGCCATTGTTTATCAGAGTGATAATGGGAATGAAATGCCAACTCTTTAGTTTCAAATTTTAAAATCGCTTTAAAATGCCTTTAAAAAAATTTGATTTAAAATTTTTATCTTATCAGAAGCTATTATTATCTAAATCTTATATAAAAAAATTCATTTTCTTATATAAAAATTCATTTGGTTTAAATTAAATGAATACATGAAAATTGAAAATGTCGAAAAAATTAAATTGAATGATAGAATAGTTGATAATAATAAAATAATAAACAAGAACCAAGCATGGCATGATAACCATTGCGCCATGTTGATAAGATCATAACAGAAGCGTTATAATAATAGAGATAATAGCGAAACAGGTCGATGGTTTAGACTCTTAGGCTCTTGTCGAGAATGACTCCGATTAAAATCAACGCATCACAATTAGTCGAGCGGTGGTTTAAACCGAACGACGAAAGCAAATTTAAGAATGGCACACCGAATTGTTATATTTCAGATGCTGCGATTTTACTTCCAGAAAAATTTGTAAATTTGTTGTTCAAAAAATCAAGTGACGCTTAGTTCGAAGCTTGGCCAAGGATTTGGCCCTGGCCAAGCCTTTCGTCAAGATATAGGAATAAATCAAAAAGTAGTCCTAGGCATAGGCCAATTATTCATTTAGTCCGATAAGCTAATGAAGCGAATCTAATCAGCGATGGCTTTCTTACGCTTATAGGAAAAAAAAGGACGAAATATGGGAAAACAAATTTTCATGTTAAATGGTAATTTTTCACTACGGTAAATGGCATTTTTTCTTATTTCCGTTTATTTCCGATTTCCGATAAAAAATATGAACTCTTTTGGTCGGAATTTAGTTGCTATTTTTTATTTAAAAAGAAAGCAAATAATTAAATTTTATTAATTGAATTCTTTAAACGCCAACAACTGATGAACGCTGTTCTTGTTGGAGTCGAGTATCGTTCACCAGAAAATCATTTGGAAATTTAGGATATTCCACTGGATTCCTTCTAATATTCCCATTTCATTGCGAATGCTTGTCGAACAAAAAGGAAATTCGAAATCATAAAATCACTTTTATTAATTAAAAAATATATATTTCCTAAAAATAACATATAATTGTTTTATTAAATATCCAGTCAAGCAAACAAACTATCCGCAATGCATTTATCCATTCCTTCATTCATCTACCCATCAACTTGTCCATCCACTCCTTCATCTATCCATCCACTCGTCCATTCATTCCTTCATTCATCTACCCATCAACTTGTCCATCCACTCCTTCATCTATCCATCCACTCGTTCATTCATTCCTTCATTCATCTATCCATTTATCCATTTAACATTCAACGCTGAATCTGAATGAAAGTATTTATTTAAGCATTTTTAGGATCAATAAAATATTTTAATCTATTTGCATTGCATTCCATTTGTTGTTACAATGTTCAAGTATTTTAAACGGTTTAAAACATTAAACACTTTCGAGTTATTTTTTCAATAATCGTTTAAAAATTTCATCGATAAAAATTGATGGTTTTGAATTTTCTTAAATTTTAATTTACAATTTTTTTAAAAATATTTGTTTTGCATAAAATATTTGTATGATGAAAATAAAATTAGATTTATTAATGATGCGCCATAATAAATTTTTTTCTAAAATTTAGAGGTTAGAGGTCATTCGAAGGTCACTAAAGGTCACTAAACCTATATTTGAACAATTCGACGAGAATGAATTTGTGAATTTATATTTTTCGTTTGTTTGTGTGCGATTAATTACATTGTAATTCGGAGAGAAATACTCTTTTTTTTGTACTTTTTAAATAATTAAAGCAAATATAAATAATAAATAAATAAGTTAAGGAGTTTGAGAAAAAACCTGGAAATTTTATGCAAATTTTGTTTCTTATTGGATTATTCTATAAAAAATGGTTTTTAACTTAAAATACTTTAAATCACAAATTTAAACACCAACAGTTTTGCTTTATCTTTTCTTTTACTACTTTTATTCGTTAAATGAATATTTATAATTTAATTGGATTTTAAATTTTAAAGAACTTTTAGTTTTAAAAATTAGCGCGGATTAGCGCAACTTATGTCTTTAATTTTACGCGAGGTTTGATTACGGATAATCACTGATAATGTAAGGCTTTTTTTTTCTATTGCCAGAATTCTATTTTACAAAAAACTATAGGCTATAAGTAATAATGAATTGAAAATTTATATATATATATATATAAATTCGATGGCATAATTTTTAGTGAAAAATAAAAAATAGTAGACATCCTCGACTAATTTAATGGCAATTATGAACGGCAATATATAAATAAATAAAAATGTTTTTAGATTTGCTGTTTGTTAAACAACGTTGATCGCTATTAAAAATATTCTCGGACGACTAAAATTCTTTTCTAAATAAGTAAATTCTTAAAAATTTTTTTTTTATTTTACATGCACCTGTTTATTAAAAGTACATCGAATTTTACTTATCGATATAACTAAATTTTTATTTTTTTATTTTATTTTATTTAAATCCAAGGTGACTAAATTACTAAATTATAAAAAAAAATCATTGCTTTTGAATGAAACATATATGAGTGATAAAAATTTCTTCTCATTTTTTGTTATATCGCATCGACTTATCCGACTTAACTAAACTAAGATTTGAAGCAAAAAAAACCAAAATCAGCAAAATTTAATTATTATAGTAATATTATTATAATGAAAATAAGCTTTAAACTAAAATTTCATCAAAATTTCATTAAGTTTTATTTTTCAGAGTCATAAAAATGAATTTCAATAAAAAAAAAATGAATGTTTACTTCAAAACTAATTATTATAATAAATGAAAAGATATTTCACCATATTTTTAGCGCATTCGTCATGGAAAAAGATAAGATTAATTGATATCACAATTGATAAGATTAAAAAGTTTGTATGAGATTGATAAGTTGTATAAAATTAATGCGGTAGATAGACGAAGTGAACAAATTTGACGAGATGTATGTCAATCGTTCGTTCAATTACGATGAGGAGACTTCGAAGAAAATTAAACTTAGGAGAAATTTTCGCAAAGAGAGAAAATGGCTAATATTTTTTAAACAAATCATAGCAAACAAATTCACTGATTATTTCTATTTTTCTCATTTGTTGCAAAAAAAAAAAATTTTTTTTCATGAAAAAACGAAAAGTTAATTTCTTTTCCGTACTATCCTTTATTGGAATAAACTTCCTATGAACTTAGTCCATGCGTTTCCTCATTCCCAAAGTGATTTTAAAAGGCTGATAAATGTTCATGTTAATTTGTTTTAATCACGGTTTTAATAATAACAGATTTATTTCAAGCATAAAAAATAAGTAATATATCGAAAATCGTATAAACGACGTCTCTTTAATTTTATTTCTTTCCTTGAATTAGTTGTAAAATAAATCATATTCTTGCGATTAAAAGACTCCAATTCAGTAATCTATAGCAAATAAAGAAATTTTAATTTATTTAAAATAAAAATAATCAAAATTCAGCTTATTAGTTTTACAGAAATGCCAGAAATAATTTCAGTTCATTACCATATAATATAAGCTAAAATCGTGAATTTTTAACTGTCGACCTGTAGATTAAATCTTACTTTTCATTAAATCTTACTTTTATAAAACATATTATTCGTATGAGTTAAATGAAAAATAAAAATTGTTAAACGAAAGGTCGTGGCTTAGGGTTTATTTTATATTTACTTAAAGGGTTATTAAATGTTGTGTTACAAAACCATTGAATTATTTTTCATTATCAGCGAACTCTCTTATCTAAGAATAAACTTAGCGATTATTTATTAACATTTAAATGCATATTAGAATTAAGCAAATTTCGGTAAAATTGAGAAATTCCGCATTTTTATAAACATTTATAAGCAATTCGATGAAGATTGTGATTGTTACTTAATAGTCGTTTCTGTAATGGAGATTTCAAATATTAATATTTATCCATGTTCATTATTTTTCTTTGTTATTTCCGATCTGTTCTTCTTCTTAATGTAGATTATGTTAGCACTTGGCTATATGCTGTGCTTGGCTACATGCTTCATCGTTTGGCTACATGTCTCTATAATCGAAAAATTAATTTTCCTTAATTTAATTTCTTTTTTAATTTTCCTTTTTCTAGTTGAGTTCTTTCTTTTAAAAAAATTGACTATTAGGTAACAATGATCTACAATAAGAAAAACACTAAAAAATAGTCATAATAATAATAATAATAATAATAATAATAATAATAATAATAATAATAATAATAATAACTTTAACAATAATAATAGTACTAATAATAATAAAACATTAAAAAGTAAGTAAATATTAATTTTGTCTTCTCTTTTTTTTTCTATTTTTTCCTTTTTTTCCCTTTTTTTTTTCTTTTTTTTCAGTAATTCCTATTTTTTATACAATATTTATTTATTAAAAGAAAGAACCACTAAGTACTAACAAAAACTATTCGGTTATCCTACCCCTTAAAGGCAAAAATATTTAGATCCTCAAGAAATTTTCTACATTATTTTATGTTTTTTATGTTTTACGAAGTGTTTCAATATGTTCACGAAATTCAATAATCAGAATTTATCTAAGAATGGTGTTGATTTTTTTTTCTTAATATGTGGAAAGCTTCGTGTAAGGATTAAAAGCAAACATCAATATGAAATTAAAATATTAAAATATATTATAAAATATTAAAATAATTTTTTTCAAAACATTCAAAATGAAGTTTTATGAAACAAAGGTTTTTTAGTTTTATAATCAGTTTATTAGACTATCCTTACATTATTTAATTGACATATTATTTTAATCCAAGATTAATTTTGTAGTTAAAATAATCTTAAATAAACTGGAAAGATTGAACCATCGCTTATCTTCATTTGTAATATTATTAATATTTAAAAATAATAATTAATAATAATTAATATTAATTAATAGAAATGATAATGATAAAACAAAATAACAATAAATGATATTAAATCAATAATAATAATTAACGAACAATAACAGCAGCAATAAATAACGATAATAATGATAGCAATTAAGTTTCACAATGATAATAGTGGTTAATAATAATTTTTTATTATACTATATTATTACTTTTATTATACTATATTACTTTTTTTACTACTTTGTATAGAAATGCTTTGTAAAAATTATAAAAATGTTTTATAATTTGTAGAGATTTTAATGATTTTTAAAGAATTTTTTTTTAAAAGCTCGCGCAGTTTCCTAATTTTTGCATCCATTCAGAGTTAAAAACGAAAAAAATAATTTTTTCATAATAAATGAAATAAATAGTTTAACGGCGACAAACAGAGGAGAGACACGAATTATTTAAGCGAAAATTCGATGCAAATCATTTTAGCATTAAATTTTTAAATTCTCTGATAAAAATGAACTTTATTTCTTATCGAAGTTCATTCTACTATCGCTCGATTATTCGATTATTGTCACTCCGATAAAATCTAATTGTTTCAAAAATTTTTTCTTGAATATGCATTAATGTTTTTCACTTTTCCTAACCGAAGATTTTTATTAGTGGCGTACTTTTGCGGAGGAATCAAGCAACGTGGTTTTGATTCTCACACCACCCCTTTCAAGGAAAGCGAAATTTTCACACACTAAGAAAAAAGTGGAAATTTAAATTTGGCAATGTGCCTCGATCTTTAATAATTCTCCAGTGAAAACGTGTTGTTCAGACAGAATCAGAAACAGAAATTCGAATGCTATTAGAAGAGTTTATATGAATTTTTCAGTTTAAATTTTTTGAAAAAGCCAACTATTTATGATGAAATATATATATTTTTTAAAAAGTCCTCAGCATTACCGGTTATACTCGCTTCACTGGCTTGTCGCATTAAACAATAAGCCAGGAAATCTCTTGGCGATAGAAATACAGGTGAATCGCCAGCATCACCTGGATTTTTGTACAGCATCAACTCCTGCGGGGAATCGAACCTCAGCATCGATGCTCCTAATTGAACAACAACCCAATGAGCCATTCTATCCCCACAATGAAATATATATTTCAATAAATATAGAAAACTTAGTCGTATTTTACTTAAATTAAAAATTAATTAAACAAAGAAATTAAGTAAATTTAGTAAATTAATTAAATAAATAATTAATTAATTTATTAAATAAAAAAATTATAAATTATTCAAATGATTGCGTTCATCAACAATACAAATTACAAATTACAAATATGCATTTCCTATATTCAAAAAAATTATATTATTGCACTCAGCACCCTCTCTTACTAAATGTTAATTAGTCGCCTAGTGGAAATATTTAAATTTGAGTCCATTTTAAATCTGTCATTTTCATGGCTCACAAATCCTTCGAGTTTGATTTTTTGCGAATAAATTGCTTGTCGCCAGACATTTTGATAAATGACAATTGCATATAAAAAAATATTACATGTAATGTTACATATATATTATTTATAATTTGAGGGATAATACGGCTAATTTTTTTTTTTTTTAAATCCATAAATTTATTTATGTTTTATTATTTAATTATTATATAATTATTTTATTATTATAATTTTTATTTAAAATAAAAATTGGTAAAATTATTAGTAAAATTATTTTCAGATGAATACTCAATGCAATATCTTGCAATTATCAATATTTCACTCAATTAAACCAAATAAATTATATTAAAATTGATGCGTTTTGTAAGGATTGGAAATATTTTACGAATTTTCAATGGAAAATGTTTTCTTCAAAAACGATTGTTTGGATTTTAATGTTATTCGAATTAGTTTTGTCGTGTGCTATTTTAATTGCATCGTTTGCAATAATTTGTGCTCAATTTCAATCAGTTTCAGAATATCATTCAAGTTATAAACCAAGGTTTTTTTTTATTGCTTTATTAATTCCAAAAAATATATTATTTATCGATAATTATTTGTTTATTAAAAAAATGAGCATTATAAATTATATATGAATTATATAAATTATATCTGAATGATAATAAATTTTAATTTCTTTGTTTAAATTAAATTTTAATTATTTTAATTGTATTTCTTTATTTTCTTTATTTTAATTTTGATTAATCATTTATTAATTATTTTAATTAATTTAATTATTATTAATTTTTTATTCCATTTTTATTAATTATTGTTATTAATTTATTAATTAAAAAATGTTGTTGATATTATTATTAGATTTTTAGATTATTGTTATTTAAAACAGATTATTATTTTTAGATTATTATTTTTGAGCAATATTATTATTAGTTTTTTTGTTATTATCATCATTATCATTAAATGCTATTATTATCATTATCATTAAATGTTCAAAGTGTATTTAAAAAAAATATTAATATTTTCAATAAACTATTTTTCTTAATATATTTTTTTAGAAATATTCATTGTTTTAAGTAAAATTTTATTTAAATCTCTTTTTCCATTTTTGCGATGCAATTTAGCAAAAAAGAAAATTTCCCTATTCAGATGAAAAAATAATTATTAAAAAAAGGAAAGCGTTAAAGAATCTTTAATTAGAATTTATTACCAAATTTTTTTATCCTCTTAATATTAATATTACTTAATGTTACTGTTAAATATTATTTTATTTCTTTTAATATGCGTGAATTTTTGAAATTTCTATAGCAAAAAACTACGAAAACGGTAAAAATTACAGTATTACTCTTATATTCACAAGTATTACGAGCTTTTCATTGATAATAGTAACTATAATTGCAATGGTTGGATTATCGAGAAGAAAATGTTGGATGATGTTACCAAGGATATCAATACTTGTTGGTACTTATCAAAACTTTAATAATATTTTAATAAGGAAATTCGCAAGCGATTTCAACATAAACTTTAGTTTATAGTTTGTTTTCTTTTTCTCCTAGCGGCTTGCATCGCTAATAGTTAGGATGGCTCCACTGGCTGGAAAGTTTCCAAATATCTAATATTTAACCATTTATGTTTTCAAAATTTTTCTTGACCAATCCAGATTCCGTTGTTTTTCCTCGCTTTCGATGCATTCATAACCACAACAAGTAGTGAGATGTGCATTTTCCTTTCTTGTGTTGAGCGAATCCGCTGCGTTGGCACCATGTACCTTAAACGAAACTGATAAAAAGAAGAGCTCGCAGATATCATTCACTCTTATTGGCCATGTTTCACAAGACGTGTGGCAGGACTGTGCTCTCTGCGAGTGTTTCGATAGTGACTGCGTGGGGATTCCACAAATTTTTGCAAAAAAATATTTTTATTTCCTCAATTGAGTTTAGTTTAAATTGATAAGAAGTATCTGTATATTAAATAGACTTTCATCTTATTTGTATTGGTCCAAAGTTCGATTTTCAATTATCGATACACGATCTAATATTAATTTATAGCTCTTTATAACTCCCTTTATCAGTTTATTCAAGATCTCTCAGCTGAATTTTACATCTCTTTAGTGCTGACAAATGATATCCATAATCCAATTTAAGGCATACTTGAAAATGGGAAAGAATTTAGCAATTACGTGATGATGATATTTGAAGCGATATTCCTGCAATCTTTTCAGCTTTAATATTTGGCCAATACTCGCATTTTGGCATAAATCCAACCCAGTTAGGACGTATTGCCATAAATCTATTAAATATCTCTCTAATAACGGTTTTATCAAAACTTATCAAATTGTCCCATTGCAACGTTATATACCTCCAAACCTTCAAATCTTGTTTTCGATAATTGGGATTTTCTGATGCATAGCTTATGCATACATACCGTTTTTGCGTGGCATTTTCCTATATGGAATTAGACATCATTCCTTTGTTGGGTATTTCGATAATGCGCGCTTTGAAATCTGCTTCTCTTTCTCAATATTTGAACTTAAGGTGGTTGAAAGATTTTAAATGGCATTGTTATTTTAAATGGCATTGTCCGCTTTATAACGATTTTCGAGCCATTGCGTGATGTGATTCGCGAAGGCTGCAAATTTGAGCACTGCAGAGGGAACGGTTTTTCCAATGATGCTGATGGAGTATAATCAATTTATTTAATCTTTTCCACAAAATTATAATTTATTGGTGCATGATTTTGCAAAAAATCTGAAATCTGATCGGAACGAATGTTGACATTTATGCTATTTTCATTAAATACTAATAGTTTTTCAATTGAAAATAGGATTGAAAGTGGATCCCTAATTGGTTCTCTTTCACGAAAGATTCATTCTTTTTACAAGAATCAAAATCAAATTTTACCCTAATAAATGAAAATAAAGTATTTGAGCTTCTTATAAATAATATTCTTTAATAATTTGCACATATTAATTCAATAATGCGCTTAATAAAAGTCATAAACATATATTTATTTTGTTTAAAATTTATAAATTTTGCTAAATTTTCTGATAATATAAAAAAAGATCTTTTAGAATTTTTTATTATTTTTTTCAGATATTAATTATCGGTTTAACTATAACGCAACTAACAATCGAAATATTACACGAAAGTTTTTATCAAATCATTATCATTGTTTTTCTTATAATTTTTTTAATAATGCAATTCGCAGCAATCTATTTGGAAATAAAAGTTTCAATAAAGCTTGATTAGTGACGATTTTTGGTGAAATATTTATTTATGAAATTATATGAAATTTGGTTTTATTTTATTTGTTTTTTGTTGAAATTCAAAAGATTTTAAAAAAGAAATCGAATTTTCTAAATATAAAACTTTTTAAATTATTAAATCAATAAGCAATTTTCTATAAGAACGAATCAAAAATAAATGGAAGAATTTTTAAAGCAAAGCGAAACAATTAATATTTGCGTGGAAATTCTATAATAAGTAAATCTTTCAAGCATAATTGAAGCATAATTGCTGCCATATTTGATATTTTTTTGAAATCGAATAAACGCATTAGCAACGATTTATAATATGTCAAATAGGTTTTAATAGGTTAGAATTCTTTTGATTCGACGTACATATAAATAAATATTTTTATAAATATATTTTTGCATTACACTCAAAATTCGATAAACCAACTCTGAATTTTAATTACAACGACACTTGAATACATATTTTTTTCGTGAATGCATATTTCGTTCAGTAAAAAATAAAACTTTTCATAGACAAATATTGTTTTTTTAATAAAAAAATTTCATTAAACAAAGTAATTAAAATAAAATAAAAATTTTGAAGAATATCAAATTCTTTCGACTATTTTACACAAATAAATAAAATAAAAAATAATTCAAAAAATAAAGTAAGATTTTTGTCTTTTTTTTTTTTTTCTTCACGAAATTTCATATGAAAATGAGAAATTTTTATTTCGATTTTAAATGACCTATTCGATTCAATATTTAAATACCTATTTTTTAAAATAATTTTTAAATATTAGCAGAAAATCGAATAGATTTTTAGATTCAGAAGAAATTTTTTTTCTAATTTCATATGCATCGCTTTTCTGATTTAATTACTTCATTATAACGTGCCTTATACCATTCATTGCGATTTCATTTTTAAAGACATGAAATTGTGATTTAATTCAATTCGAATTGTGATTCTAGCAAAATAAGACAATTTTTCGTACGAAAGGCTTGTTAGAGCAGAGTTTTTTTACAGTTCATGTTACAGTTACAGTTTTACAGTTCAATTTTACAGTTGGGAGCATTACAGTTAGAAATTTAAAGAATATTGGAATACAAAAGAAAAAAGGGAATATGCATTCCGGATGATAAATCTAAACTTTAAAATATCACTCCAATTACTTTCAGATATGGCATCAGATCGAAAGGAAAGCTTGAAAACTTCTTATCTTAATCGCTAAGCAAGCGAATGTTCAAGCTGACAGAAAAAAAGTGGATTCTATTAAAAAGTTGCGAATGCGATTTTGAATAGTGATGAACGGAGCGAAGATAATATATATATATATATATATATATTCAAAGTAGTGAATGTTTTTAGTAAAAAAAATTACGGGACATTGCATGGCATTTGCGCGATTCCTTCAACTATTCCTCCTCTTTTTTCTTCAAATTCATCATTTCATTTCAACTCAATCGGTCAATTTTAGCAAAAGCAATATTCAAAAGCAAAATGTGATTTTAATAATCGCTACAACTTAATACAACTTAAATTAAGATAATCAAATAAAAGTCTTATAAGTGAAGATCAAATCTTATTTAATTTTTCCAACTCTAAAAAAATAAAATCCATTAAAAACGAATAGATTATAAATTTTTTTGTAAGCCTCCAGTTAAATTGATTTATTTTTCCTAAATATGGTGAAGCTAGTTTGTTTCGTATTTTAAATTACCCTGCAGATGTGGACAAATGCAAATTTATAAAATATTTCTGAATTCATAAGGTTTGAATTGAATCCAAAAGGAAATTTAATAAAATTCTTCCCTGTACTATTTGAAAAAAAAAAAAAGTTTTTATCGATCATTCAATAGCTGATAAATATGCAAAGTTGTTGTTAATTCAACGCATAGAATTTTATTTTTATCAATAGATAATTTCATTTTCACTAGGCCACATATTTATTCAAATTATATTGAAATTATATTATTCAAATTATTCTGAAGCCCATTTAAATTCTCAGATTTACCGTACGAAAGAAGAGTTTTTAACCATCTATCACGCACCAATAAATATGCGAATTGGAAATATTAATAAAAATATTAATAAATAATAATAATTAATATTAATATTAATAAAAATTATAAAAAAAGGGTAAAACACTTGCGTTCCGAATCCGAAAATTTCTCAAATTATTAAACATACAGTCTATTAATGGAGCGAATCGTTACTATCAAGTGGCTACCACACGAAAAATTTCCAATAGAGAGCGAGTTTAATTACTTTGAACATTTAATCACTTAATTATAACTAAGAAACTACCAAATTTAATTAACTAAATTACTAAATTCGCAAATAATCATGAATAGACAATTGTCCGAGCCCGAAATTCTTGGAAAAAAAATTAGCTCCATTTTTGAAATTTCCTGGTAAAACTGTCAATAAATTTAACACGAAATTTGCATACACTATATTTACTATCCATTATGCTTCTTTCCACCATTTTTAATATTAATGATGAAATAACGACTATTTGACTATCAATTACTGTGGTAATTGCAAAACGTGTCAACCTTTTATGTATTATGGGGAGCAACGTTAGAAGCCAAAACGAGGCGATTAATTCGTATTGCATATTAAAAAATTTTTCTTGGTACCGCCGAGTCATCAAATGTTATCATTACTTTATTTTCGTATATTAGAGGTGCGCTTTGGATAATGATGGAATGCGATGTTGTTCCAGAGATAATCATTCGACTCATAGAGGTTTTTTATGAGCGTACGTCGGCGCAGGTCTGTGTGTATGGGGAACTGACTGACTCTTTCGAAATAAGAACTGGTATTCGTCAAAGTGTGTCCTTTCCCATACAATATGCGATAGACTGGATAATGGACACCACTTGTTGGCACTCAAAAGGTATCCAAATTAATCCAGAGTATCGTATCACAGATCTTGAATACGCTGATGATTACTGATTATTGAATACGTAGTGAAATGCAAGTAATGCTAAATAAGGTCAGAAGCTTTAGCAAGAACAGGAACCAGGGTCAAAGTGTCACTAAACGAAAGACTTTTCGTTTTATGAGCAAGAAGCTGATTAGATGCCTCTTTTTATTGCCGGTTGAGGAATTGTACGATTTTAAATACCTTTAATAGCGAATGGACAGGCAAAAGGCATATTACAACTCGGATCACGGCAGCTAGAAAAGCGTTCTTCCGGTTGACGAAAGTTCACTTTATGGAGTGACCATAAAAACGAAAGTCCGCATCTATATTGCCGTGATCCGTTCGATCTTATTATATGGTTCTGAGATGG